AATTACTATTAATAATCTAAATAATAATCTTACTAACGTTATAGCGTAAGTATTATAAATTACGTCTTTTACTTACTAGTCTCCTTATATAATAAGTCTTACTTTATGCTTAATAAGGTATCTATACTTATTTAACTTATAGGTATATACTTATTAGTAATTAAGTATCTAATTATTACTAGCCTCCTTAATACTAACTTTATACTAGCTGCCTATTACTTTATAGCTTTATAAGTAATCTTTTTTAGCCTTATAAAAGTTATCTATAAATAGGTAATTTTATAGATTAGTATATATATTAGGCAGACTAAGTAAATCCTTTATATAGATCTTACGCTTTACTAAATTAGTCCTATAAGGGCTTCCTTACTATATTATCTCTACCTTATCTTTAGAGCCTTTAGAGGTTACCTCTTCTACTAATTAACCCTTTTGCCTAGTAATTTAAGGGGGCTAGCCTGTAAATTTATTAGGTAGATTAATCTGCCTTAAGGATATCTTTATATTATTTTAATGTTAAAGTGTACTAGCTATAAAGGCGGCTTACTATACCTCCTATAAGAATATCCTTCTTTTAATAATATAGTTAGTATAATAAATCTTATTACTTTTACTTTCTTACCCTCTTACGTTAAGAGCGTTATTTAATTATATAAAGAATACTAATTATAGTAAACCTAGTAAAGTAATTAATATAAAGTGTAACTTTATATATTTATAAGTATTTATATCTTTAGTTATAAGGAAATTTACTAGCTAATTCTTAGCCTTATTAATAGTAAGATCTATAGCTTCTCTACTATTAGTAATATCTTTATAACTTTACCTAGTTACTTTTATAATCTATTTATTAATAGTAGCCTTATTAGTATTACTTAGCTTATTAACCTATTTATCTATTTTACTTAAGAAATAACTATCTTTATTAAAGATTACGTTATATATAGTAACTACTTTATTCTTTAGTAGTATATATATATAGTATTAGTTAGTAGATATATATCTAATAAGGTAGCTAATATATACTTTTACTTTAAATTATTATAATTAGTTATAGTTAAGTTATACGTTAGTAGTTACTACGTATACCTAGTATCTAAATACTAATAAATAGCTAATATATAGTAATAAAAGTTACCCTCTTATAACATACTATATCTTATATAGTAACTGCTATCTGCACAACTCTAAAGGAGTACAGTTATATAGATATACTACAGCCTTAAGAATCTCTAGCTATAAGTAGTGTAGTAGCTTAGATCTAAGCCTTATTACTATTACTTTCTCCTTAATTACCGCAGTAATCTTTTTAGTACTGCCGTTTTATGCTTACGTGTTAGGCGCTAAAGGCTTAAACAGGATTTCTAGACTTTCTATAGCTTCCTTTACCTATAGATAGGACGTTATAATCTTATTATTACACTTAATTACTATTACTTTAGTAGCCTTATATATCTTAATTATCTTTATAAAGTTAAGAAGCGTATACTTAATGTTATTAAAGTTATGTTATTAAAGGTAATAATCTTATATAAATCCTAACTTATAGTTAGTTAATAGTAAGGCTAACTTAAATCTACTATAGCCTTACTTAAATAGGTAAAAATTAAGCGTAATCCTATTACCTACTACTATATATTTAATTAACTCTTACAGCTAGTAAGATATTTACTAATTAATCTTACTTATTACACACACTTTATATTAGTAAGTAAGGATTTCTAGCACTTTACCTTTAATCCTTACTCCTCTAGCCTTACTAGTAATCCTATAAAGTATACGCCCTCTAGGGTAGCTAAGCTAATTATACTAGCGTAGCGCCTTTACTAGCTAAGATTATTAGTAATAATCTAGGCTGCCTTTAGCGTTAACTACTACTACTATAAGATAAGTAGTGTATGTATTCTTTACCTCTTTACTAGCCTTAATTACTTATTAGCCTATAAATTTATCTATATTAAATACTATAAAGTAATTATTAGCCTTATAAATATAATTATTAGATAGGCTGTTATCTTACTACTATTTATTTTATAGCTTTAGCGCTACGTATAACACTAGATTATAAGATAGTAATAGGTAATACGCTATGTTATATAAGGTAATAGTAACGTTATAGCTATTTACCTTTACTTTAACTACTATATTACCTTATTCTTTAATTAGTATTATTACTTTACTTATATAGATAAAGTTATCTAGATTTACTAGTAATATACTAGTAAAGTAATAACGTAAATAAAAAACATAAAAGGTTACCCCTAAATTAAGGATAACATAGTCTTTAAGTAGATATCTAGCTACTATAAATATAGCTAACTACTATAATAGTACTCCTTTTACTTACGCCTTTTTACTAGTTAGTTATTAATTTATTATATTATTACCTTTTAGCTACTTTAACTTTAGTAAAAATAGCTTATTTATCCTCTTTAATATATTAGTAATAAGTATATTTACCTTCTTTAATTAATCCTTTATATATTAATCTATAAGTGCCTTTTATACCTACTTAATTATATATATAAGGGGTTAGCCTAGTTACCTTTTATAAGGCTATATATAGTGTATTTTAGGCACTTAATGCCTAAACTAATTAATCTTTTAGTAATACTAAAATAGTCTATTAACAGGTATAGCATACTACCTATACCTTTATAATTATTTAGGTACTAAGTAGGTCTTCTAGCTATTAATAGGGGCTAGGTTTAAATCCTACCTATTAAGACTCTCTTTAGTGTAGGCCTTAAGGGGCTAAAAGGTTATTAATTAGTAGATTAGTTAGCTAGGTATAAATAAGGGGTAGCTTACGTTAGGCTTAAAGGGACTAGGTGTAAGGAGGTAATATCTAGTAGCTATTACTAGACGCTAGGCTACCTAGGGCCTTTAGGGTTAATATAACCTTATGCTCTAGCGTATAGTTACTAGCGCTAGTGCGTATACGTAGGCCTAAAGCGACTTAGGACGCGTTATATTAGAAGGGGGGTAATTATAAGGGGTTAGCCTAGTTACCCTTTATAAGGCTATATATAGTGTATTTTAGGCACTTAGTGCCTAAACTAATTAATTTTTTAGTAATACTAGAATAGTCTATTAATAGGCGTAGCACACTACCTATACCTTTATATATACTTATATAGTATCTAATTACCCCTTAGCTTTATCTTACTAGCGTAGTAGTAGTTAGGGATCCTATAGCCTATTAATCTATATAAGTTATATCTATTATATTAATTATAGGCTGTAGGCTCTTTTCTTACTTAATTACTGTAGTTATTATTAGGCGTAGTAGTTACTATAGTAATAAGGCTAAATACCTTATAAGAAGCCTTTATCTAGGGCTACTCTAGCTCTACTATAATCTAAGCTTAGATTACTAAGATTATATTATAGTAAAGAAGCCTACCTTTATAGGCAAGTAGGTAATTAGTAGTTTTATACGCTTTAACCTATAGCGCTAATAGTATATATCTTAGCGCCTTTATTAACAGTAAGAACTATTTACTAATTAACTTTACTAAATACTACTTAACTTAGATACCTTTAGATATAGCTTCTTCTTATTTATTTATTTATTTCTCTAACTTCTTTATATCTATAACCTTATAATCTATAGCCTTTTTTATAACCTTTTTGTACTTAGTAATAGTAAGATCTTTTGCCTTATATAGTAGTATACTTACTCTAGCCTTAAGATTTTTTACTTATTTATATAGTAATTTCTTACTGTTATAACACTCTACTTTAAGCTTTAGATTAATAGTTAAATAGATATAGGCTATAATATTATTAATATTCTTCTTAGCTTTTTCCTATTTATATAGGTAATAGACGTAGACCTTCTTATTATATTTAAGTTACTTAATACCTATATTAGATAGTTAGGTAAGCTTAGTTACCTTAGCTACTGACTGCGCTAGTTATAATAAGGTCTATAACCTTATTATTAGCCTAGTAGTTAAATTATCTTAGGCCTATTAGTTAATTACTTCTTTAGTTATTAAGTAGTTAGTAATAGTTAGCTCCTCTAGCCTGCTGTTAATAATATCTACTGTAGTTATATAGCACTTATTATTAGCGTCTAGATTAATTACGTCCTATAACTTATATCCCTAGGCCTTTTGCTTAAGCTCTTTAAGCCACAGCTGCTAATTAGCTAGGCCGTTAAGTACAGCGTTTTAAGTAGTAGATTTGTTAGTTATTATAAATATCTACACGTATATCGCGCATATACTATATATTACTTTAAGTAACATTAATTAGTAACTTATAGATCAGACTGTTAATTATTAAAGCGCGTAATTAGTAGTAATAACCTTGTTTTAATTAATTGCTCTGTTATGTGTGTAACTATTCCTATGGCCCACAGCCATCGCCAATCGGCTGCCCATTAAGGGGCAAAATGCACAGATCATAATTTTTCCTTTGTTTTAGGTGGGGAAATCCATCTAGAAAATGACTGGCGCATTCGCCGTCAATTGCCCCACATTCATCCAGGCATTCATGGCCGCATTGCCCACTTTGACAACTCTCTGCCAACTGATCCACCAGCGGGAGGTGGTTACATTGAAGAATTGGCCAACCGAGGGGCGGCTGGCAATGTCTTACCCCGATACACGGCTGGCGACGGCTTGCCCCGTCCTGGCAGCCATGATGTATGCCATTGAACGGTAGGTAGGCCAATGACCCCGCATGGCGTTCCCTCGGTATTTGCCTACTAGTGTGGTGCTATCGCTTGTGTTTTGCAAAACGTGTTGATTTTGATTCAGCTTCTTCTTTTTTTTCTTATTTTTCTTTAAAAAATGCCATGACTTGGGAGAGCCATCCATGTTCAAAGTGGCAAGACTGCTTAGGTAGTAGTTCTGTTTTCGGCGGACCCCGTGATCGAGCTCAAGCGTGGTCGAGCCATTACGTAAGCACATTTATGCCTTTTCCCCGTAGCGACAACGGCAAATGAACAAGAAAAACAATATAGCATTACACCTCCCATGGCACCAATCATGTCACCGAGCACCGAAATACCACCGGCGACGGCGACGGCGGCGGCGGCGGTGATGACTGGGACTCCCGCCTCCGACATCGCCCAACCGGCAACGGCATGTGCTACAGCCGTCTCACGACCGCTTACAACACCCGCGATTGCCGTCCCGGAAGGCGTGACGGTGGTCTATGCGGAACGCAAGCGGACCGGCCGCATCGCCGGCGCAAAATACAAAGCCGACGGCACGCCTTATGGGCGCTCCGGCCCGGCGCCGAAGCCGCTGCACGAGAGGACATCATACAAGGAGCGCGCGCCGGTGAAGCGGCTAGAGCGGTCGTACACGGCGCAGCGGAAGAGAGAGGTGATTATGTTTCTGGAGAGCCACAAGCTGCCGTGCGACGACAACGATACGCGAGCGCGGCGGAACCGGGCGGATCAGCAGCCGCCGGCGGAGAAGGGGTACCGGTGGCCCACTCTCTCCGAGGCGTCGGAGTGGTTCAAGGTGCCCGAGGGGACGATCCACAGCTGGTGGCAGAAGAGGGACAATATCATGGGGAGGGCGCCGAAGAAGCCAACCAGGGCCGAGCAGAGGCGGCTGGCGGAGGAGGTGGAGAGGAAGAGGAAGGAGGACGAGGACAGGCGGACGCAGCTGGCGGCCATTGGTTGGCCAGCGGAAAAGCTCCCTTCTGGCACTTCCGGGACTCCCAGTACTCCTTGTGCTTCAGGCGCTGTTACCAGTGGCGACGACGGATCTGGAGAGGCGATGGAGTGCGTTGAAGGGCCATCTCGGTCAGTCCCCGGACGACAAGAGACACCAGAGGGTGTGCCAATGTAGAGGGGAAGGCTAAAAGAGCCATCGGGCGTGAAAGGGGTATCGTCACCGGGAGAGACGCCTCCCGCCGCAGGGCCGGCCGCCATCTCGGAAGGATCGGCAGCCGGCGGCACATCTGCCACGAGCACCCCCGCTGCCACACCCGGAGAAAATTGACAAGGGGGGCCCGTTCCGGCGGCAGCGATACCGGCGTCCCCCGGTCACAAAATTCCCACGAGAGGTTAGCGACCCCGTCCGGGCAAGCTCCTCGAGGTCAAAGGGCCTTGTCGGCCATGACGGGAGACGCCGGAAACTCGCAGTCCGAGTCTGTCGCTCAGGGGCTAGTCAGAAGGGGCATGCATGGCAGAGGAGAAGGGACACCTGTGGCCACGGAGGAAGCATCACATCGTCAGAGGCGAAAAGGATATCAGACAGTGGATTAGGGAAGGGGTTTCCCGTCGGTCGAACGTATGCGGTCAGCAGGGAGTTAGTGATACCAAAGAGGGGGGGTAATGTGGATTCGGGCATGGTGTTTGTAACAATACATGATGCCATAGCGGGCATATGGTTCTCATTGAAGATAGGGCATGCTTCGACTACTCAACAGTACCAAGCTTCGTGCCATGTACTAGGCATCTACAAAAGAGAGGAAAGAAGAAAATCGCTTTCAATGTTCTTCCATAAGAGATGTCGGTCTGTTGTCAAGCCCTCGATGACCTGCTCGTGAATACAGGATGCGGTGCAACAGAATGTCCGTTAGAGACGACCACCAAGCACAGGCTGACGTTCCATCAACAGGTGAGGATTGCAACCTCTACCTTTCCGCGATAGGCCGGGTAGTGCGGCTGCGATATCCGAGATGAACCTTGCCAGAAGCCATGACTTTGTCTTCGGCGAGCTTTTGAAGACAGCAAAACCCGACACCGCCTTGCGTCCGCTTCGCGGGGACGCATGCGACTGAGATGCAAGCATTTGGCTATGGGCTCACGAGGGGCCACGGGAAAAACGAGGCAGAGAAGAGACTTCGCGTGCCACGTCCCAGATTACGTGCAAATGACGAGACCACGCCAAGAACAGGCGCAGTCCAATGATGCTCAAGGATGAGAAGGGCCTGGGTCGGATAACGGATAATGGAAAGACAACCCCTTGTCTCGGTAAATTAACATTTCTTCTTTGCGGCTGCTGCACTAAAGCTCGTTAGTCGAGTCGTCGTTGTCCGATGACCTGTTGGCAAGGCATTCGCCATTCGCATCTTGCATCTGTCGCTGACAGCACAACAGCCCAACAACATGACAACACGCCAACCGTCCTTTGGACAATTGTGTCCGATCCAATAATATCTCGCCTCAATCTCGACATCAAAGTTCACCGACCCGGCAGTCCGCAACGAGGAGAATTATGCCAGGATCTCCTTCTTCACCTTGACGTATCGGAAGCGGAGAATCTCATGCTGTCGACTCCCATTCCGCCTTCTTCAGGTCCAGCCATTCTCCCTTCTCGACCCAGAGGTTCTCGAGCCACTTGGCCAGTTTCTCGTCGTCTTGCGGCAGAGTCTCGAGGGCAAACCGGCGGACGTGGACATGAAACTTGTAGCCCAGTCGAGAGCTCAACCCTGGCACGCTCAGAGTATCCCACATGCTTGGGGCCTCCATGAACACGCTCCCTCTCTGGTAGGCAATTGTAACGTCATACACCGCCTTCACATGAGGGGCCTTCCTGAGATGCTGCACTGTGGTAATGAAGCCTTTCGTCCGAGGATACAGCAGGTGCTTGGGCTGTGGCTTGCCCGACTCCTTGCACCACACGAGCGACTGCTCGTATTTCTTCTTGGTGAAGCGAGTGGCCTCGCTGAAGCTAACGAGCCCTGTTCCTCGGTGAGTGCATGTCCTGCGACGCCCCGTACGAGGCTGCCTGCTAAATCACTTACAGGTCGGCCATTGTCTATTCACGATGCCAGCAAACACCCTGTCAAGCTCGTGCCTGTCCTTGGCCCAGTTGCGGCTCACCATGGGCATGCCCATCGCCCACAATCCCCAACCGAGGAAGGGGACGATCCGTAATTGGATCTTGGCAAAGTAACGGCATCGGCTCAGCATGCCGGCCTTGATGGCAAGAGCCTGGATCATGTAGAAGTCGGCCCACCCGACATGGTTGACGACCACAACGGCCGACTCGCCGGGCGGAATTGCATCGCCGGAAAATGTGAGGTTGGCGCCGTTGAAACGTTCAAAGATGACCTGGATCCAGTACCACACGGTGACGGCGATGCGCGAGGACGAGTTGTAGACGAAATCCGGAGCGAACCATTTCAGAGGCAACTGGAGGGAGATGGCCGTGTCGGCCAGCAGCAGCCAGAGCACCCAGGGAGTCAAGATGGCGGCTCCCCGGAGGTGAGTGAGCACGTTGCCGTGGCCAGCCATTGGTGGCGGTGTAGTCGAACACGGAAGAAGCCTCCAGAAGGAAGGGGAGTGTTCCGAAAGCGAGACAGCACGGCACGGCACGACTTGGAGTGGTCGTGTGAGAGGTTGGCTGTATCGCACTTTGGATTCTCTTGTTGCAGGCTGGCGACGTCCCAAAAAGAAAAGCAAGAATGCTGGAATGCTGGGCCGTGGGGTGAAGCGAGTCGAAGCGCGGCGGCAGAGCGATCTACAATCCAATCCAGTTCAATCCAGTCCAATCTGTGTTGCACTAGCCGAAAGAGTGTTTCGAAAGGGAGCCGCGTGCGCGCGTGACTTTGGGCCAGGAGGTAACTAGGGCAAAAGTTTCAAGCCGGCAGGAGACAATCATGGATGCGCCTCTTGCCGCTCGGTCGACAACTCAATTACCGTCGGATTTCCTGCTGCCAAGGACGAGGCCGTAGGTTTGCCGGGATTTTCCTTTTTGGACTACAGGTCTATCTATCTATATACCTACGCTCTGTGGCTCTCCAAGGACAGTACTACGACGGCACGAAGGAGAGGAAGAGACATGAACATAAAAATAGAATAAAATAAAATAAAAAACACAAGAAATAAAGAAAGAAACACTGCTGTGCTGGGCCAGAGTGGCTGGTCTCGACTCGAGCAAAGACGCCTGGGCCCGCCGGATTTCCCAAGAGGGATGTAGTATGACGGCATGGATTTTTTTCTTTTTCGCTCTTACCGTATTTTCTTTTGGTGAGATCCATCGTTGTTCTTTTTGGGGGCCGATGAGCGCGGTACGGTACATACGTGCTTAACTTGGGTTTAATAACGAGAGCCGGTGTCCCTCATCAACTTCAAGGCCAAGACGAGGATTCCCGGCCTCTTTTTGTTTTTGTTTTTATTACCTTTACTCTTTCCTTTTCCCCTCGTCTTCTTATCTTTCCACGTGGCTTGGGCGCAGGGAGACCGAGTGCGATGCACAGAGCAGGCAGGATGCGATAGGTTCTCAACGTGCCAGGTTCCAGACTGTTGCTTGTGTCGAAAGCTCGACAACAGAAACACGTCAGTCAAAAGCGCATGTGCCTATACTTACTTGCATGCATGGATGCGTGCATAAGGAAGTGCCGTTGCATGAAAGCGAACACGGGCTGAGTGGCCCCATCTGTTGGAGGGGACGACGTTTGGCCTTTTGCCCAGGTCGTCCGATGTCGACTCGGTCATTGGGCCGAGAGCCCAGTGCGTGTATATATGGATTGAGAGACTCGAAGATGGGATGTCGCAAAGATTCACTATCCAACATGGCCTGTATTGTGGTACGTTACGCCCTCGCACGGTGGTTGGGGCCCGTTGATGGATGATGGTTGGCCAGCTCAACCATGGGGGAGGGGGAAGTCTGTCTGTATGAGAGGGAGGTCCTCCTCATATCATGATACGGACGTACGAACGGACGTATGGGAGATATTGGATTTAGGCGCGACCTGACGTGACTAGCTCCTGCCTGCCACTCTTGCCTTGCCCAGCCAGATCCGATAACCTCGGAGCTGGCCCCGGAGGTGTCTTAGATTCTATATACTTAGGTGCCTACCTAGGCAGATACTTGGGTAGGTACCGAAAGGGAAGACGCTCGGTATCTGGTGCTGGGTGCTATGCTGCAATTGGCAAGAGCTGCGGCGAAGGAGCTGGGAGCATGAGATGCCGAGCCAAGCAAAGCCAAGCCTCTCTAGCTGCATTCTGCCCTGTGTGCTCTCGTACCTATCAGCAGGTAGTTGCCTGTAAGGTACCCAGGTAGGCACCTACCTACCTAGTAGACCCGGTCTCAGTTAGGCTAAGGGGCCCTCTCACTGGCTGATTGCCCTGGTCCCATATCACCTACCAATACCTACCTACCTAGGTATCAACCTGCCGGATATCTTCTCGAAGCACAACAAAAATGAGAGACAAATTTCTTTCCTTCTTTTGTGTACTTTTTTTTATTGCAGTGAGCGTTCGTGACGCAGGCGCTGCTGTCCCAACTGCATGCCATCTGGACCTTTTCCCCAATCGAGGGTGCCTAAGGAAACCACGCAAACTCTGTCGTACGAACCTCGTGTTTGCCAGAGCACCTTACCTAAGATTAGGTTCCCCGACAAATACCGGAAAATATACAAGACCTTATCAAATGGCTACCTCTCGTGTGTGAAGCACTGAACGCTCACCTGCGTGGAGCCGTTAACCCTACGGACCTAGTCGGTGACTTCCGTCGGCCTACAAAAAGAGAACTGCTATCACTTATATATGTCTTCACGTAACTTCCCTCCACTGAGCAACGTTTCGAACCAAACCCTAGACCAACTCTGACGTACGGGCCGTGATAAAGCCACTGATATAAAAACGACAGGCTGATCGGCACCATCCTTGTTTGTTCGGGGTATACATCATTGTGTCGTTGATTACAGTGCGGGTCTTTCGTAGCTTCTGTTAGGCCCAATGTCGTCCATATCAGTTACAGCAGAAACCCAGTTTAGGAACTCCACCTGATTAAGGGGATCCGGAATCAATTGTTCGCTGTGACCTGTGGGGTGGAGGCTTCTTGTTGCTCCTCCTCTACAGTTGGGCCTCTCTTCCTCCCCCACTCTCCTGGATTGTCAACCCGGCCCGGTAGATCATGCTATTCTACACTATTCGTTGTACGTACGTGTGTTGTATCTGACCGTCCTGTCTCGTGCGAGCGAGACTTGTTCACTACGGTAAGGTGAGAGCATCTGATCTTGGAAGAAGTCAACGCGTGTTCCTTCTTGAACCAGAAAGCTTAATGAACTACACACTCACCTCAGCGTTGGGTGGCTTTGGATAAGAAGCCAAGGCTTCGCCCTCCCCGCCGTCTCTCTCTCTCTCTCAATGTATCCGACAGTGAGCTTGACCTTTTGCGGATACACCGATCTGGACCTCCAACACCTGACCGCCAGTGGACGCAGAGCAGCCGGGTGTGAACCTAAACCGATCTGGTCCGTCGCCCGGAACTTCGTCTTTCCAGCCTCCCCGCGCCGTTGCCAGCGCCGGGTCGGACTTGGAAATTGCCATTATTTGTCACCATCCGGGGCAGTTTCCCCTCGGCCTTCTAGTGCGCACTTAGCCGTCGCCCGTAAAACAAGGCACCTATTTAGTTGGATAAGCATAGCCCTACCCGATGACGAACGTTTCAAGGTGCCATTGGTCAATCTGGGTATCCCGACGACATCTTTCTCACGCAAGGCATACATGGCAAGGGGGGCTTTTTCGAAGAGCACTGGGCGGAACACTGATGATTCCGAAAAAGCAACAAAGTCGGGGCCTTTGGTCAAGATTCTGGGGGACCCCCTCCTCGCCCCCCAACAACAAACCCCAGGGAGACCTGGCTTGACGGAGTCGGATGAACCGCTTTAGTTCCCGTAAAAGAAGTCTGCTTGTGAGCCGGATATCAAACCATCCAACATCAACCCGTGAACATCAATCGGCCCTTGAGACCCTTTCCCGTCGTGCCGCCGTACGAGATCCCGGCAAGCTGGTTCTCTCCATTCGAGGAACGGACAGCTGCTGCTGAAACCCCGCATATCCTTCCTCCCGTCAAAATTCCTGCGGCTCATCAGTCTAGACTTGAGACTCGGGTGCCGAGCGAGTAATTGACTGGCATACTGACAGGTTACCAGCCCGTTCACGTCTCTCCCTCTTCCTTCAGCTCCCACCATCTTGTCTTGGAAGGCGACAGTGGCCCTTTTTGTCGCCGTCTCGATTCGTGACTATTATCAGCCACCAACAAACGGCACCACCGCAGAAGTGCGCCACCACCCTGCAAGAAACGAAGTCAAGGGTAGTCGACGCCCCCCCGGTCCCTTTTTCTCACCCCCCTCTCTCTCCCCTCTGCCTGTCGCCTACCTAGTGGTTTCTCCGCTCCTGTCATTCGTTCTTTCCTCTAGACAGATACGCAGCATTTAGGGCAATCGGAGCCAAGAGTTGAAAAGATACAAGAGAGACAGACACTGCAACCGTCCAACCCCGGACGCACGACATCCTCCTCGTCTGGACCGTGTCAAACAAATCTCAAACAGGGCGAACCAACCAGCCTTCCTTACCACCTTACCCAGGTACCCCGACCCGTCCCTACCCACCTACATAGATTAGGTAGTTTACCTACCTACGGCAACCCGTTCCCCGTTCCGTTCGTTGCCCCTCCCCTTCTCGTCGCAACCGCATAGCCCTCCCTCCTCAGACAGCTCGGACGCCAGAATAGGGTTTCACGTTCGGGAGCGACTTCTTCCCAAATAACCATAATCGTGGTCCGCATGTTACAAGCCTTGGACGGCTCAACCCCTTTCCACTTCAGCATCCCTTTTTGCTTTGACAGACGACAGCCACCGTCAGTCACCGCCAGTCAGTCAGTCGTTCGGCATCCCATTGCCAGACGAAGCTGCACACCGCACAATTGCGCTTCAACCCGTCTAAAGGTAAGTCCCTCAGCCCGCCTGTCTGTTCACTCCTCGCCCGTCGCCATGCGCTCGAGTCGAGACGTATTTGAAATACAACTCAGCCACCCGCCCCTCGTCATTGCTGTCGATTTGCACACCGCGCCTTTTACATGACGACATTACCTCGAAGCATTTCCCTCTCTCTGTCTCTCCCTCTTCCTCTTTCCCTTTCTCTCTCTTCTCTTTCTCTTCGACGGCTTTCTTTTCTCTTGACCTTATGCACTTTCGGCGACACAATGACTGATTCAAGTTACGTAGCAAGTTACCGCACCCCTCCGAACCTGTCGTCGTCTCCTACACGTAAGCAATCTGTGAGCTCGATACACGATAGGGCAGCGATGGCTTCCTCGTTATCGCCCGACCAGTATGGAAAGCAGCCCTCACAGGGCCAGTATGGCGGCGGCTCCGGCGAGGACCAGGAAAGGGGACCGCTGAGCTCTTTGAACCTGGGATTCCTCAAGTCCCTGACGGAAAAGAGGACAACACGAGGTATGGGAACAACTATAGCGGCAACTGCATCAGCGCACCGAGTAACCTAACATCGGCCATTTGTAGACGGCCAACCGCCAAAGCGAAGAGGACCGAAGCCCGACAGCAAGCCTGCCTTGACTCGGCGACAGGAACTGAACCGCCAGGCGCAACGGTAAGCTGCAACAACCCGTACTGGAGGCTTCGGCGATGCCGTCTTGCATGCTGACGACGGGAACCTGCAGCACGCACCGTGAAAGAAAAGAGCTATACATCAAGGCACTGGAAGACGAGGTGCTTAGACTGAAGGAGATATTCAGCAACATCTCCCAAGACAAGGACAAGATAGCCGAGGAGAACCGGCAACTCAAGCAGCTCCTCGTCCAGAACGGCATTCCCCTCTCCCACTACGGCGATGACATGGTCAGCAATCCTAGCGTGGGCTACACGTCCAGCGCCAGCCAATCGGGCAACAGCTACGGCCGCAACGCCTTCACGCCGCCGTTGACATCCACGACAGCGCCTTCGATGTCGCCCTCGTCTTACGGTCCGTCTCACTCCCACTCACACGGTCCGCCCCCTCCCCTCCCCCAAATGGGCAGCCAGCAGCTGCAGAACAGGCAACAAGGACAGGGTTCTGGCAGAGGTGTGGACCTTGAGCAAGCGGGCATTGACTTCGTCTTAACGTACGATAACCACCACCCCTCGAAGGCATACCTATCACCTCCCCCGCAGTGAAGAAAAAATTGAAGAAGAAAAGAGAGAACCTGTCATAACCACCCAAGTCCTGGACACCATCTGGAGCTCGGGTGGTCGTGAGAGTGGGGCGGGGAAAACGATCTGATGAACTCAAACCGGGAGGAGAAGAGCTTGCTGACGAGTGCGATTTTTATCGAGGGTATGCAACAGTCTCGAGAAACCCTGCATGAACCACATGCCCTGGCTACTGGAGAGATCAAGCGAAATGGGCGGTGAGCCCTGCGGCCACGCGCTGATGGCCTCCTGCCCGCCGGCTCCCTTCCCGGAGCTGACGCCGGATATCCCCTTTGGGTACAGCAACGTCAACGGAGACCTGGACTCCCAGCAGAGGACGTGGGAAGTCAGCAAGGCCAGCCTCTCGGCCCTGCTCGACCTCAGCAAGAAGCTGAACCTCGACGGCGAGGTCACGCCCGTCATGGCCTGGGGCATGGTCCTGGGCCACCCCAGAGCCCACGAGCTGCGGGTCGAGGACTTCCAGAAGCTCACTGACGAGCTCAAGGACAAGGTCCGATGCTACGGGTATGTTTTGACCATGCTTTCCTTCTCGTCGACGAGGGTTTGGTCGCATGAGCTAACTGGGCTTCAGCTTTGGCGCCGTCATGGAGGAGTTCGAGGTCAGGGACGCCTTGGAGAACGTCTTCTTCTCCGGGCCCGAGATGATGTCCTACACCTACTAAGGGTACAACGCTGGCTCACGAAGGAGATATGATATCGGTGTGTATGACGCGGTTTGGGGGACATTTCCGTATGCGTGTGATTAGGCAGGGACTATTGGGAGTATCTCAAGGCAATATTTTTGATACCATGGCTACAATTTACACTTGATAAAAACAACCACCAAGAAATCCGAGAACAGTGGATGAGACTGAGGCTATCTCAAGCAACTGGCGGCACACCCTCTCATCCAATGCGCCCCTGCCAGTTGCAAAACATGCCATTTGTATGTATTCGCTGCCAATCTATCGCATGGGTTTTTAGCTGGCCTGTGGCCCCGCGACGCGGAAACGAGTGGCTGTCAGACGCCGCCAGGTGCCGAAACACAACTCTCTGAAATTTTGCCCGCTGTGCCCCACAAACTTCCACCCCACCAAATCCGAACGACGAAAATCAACGGCGAGAGAGGAGGCGCACTACACCAAATCCGTGACGACTTTTCCAATCCTTTTGCCTGAAGCCCGAAAGCGCTGCTGCACCCCCTCCCCTCCCGAAGGACAGCAGACCACCCCCCGATTTCGAGTCGAGCAGTCTTTTGAAATCTCTCCCCTCCCTGCAACCGATCCGAAGGGAAACGCAAATCCTCCAATATGGCTCAGGAAACCGACTGGGTCAAGCTCGTCGAGACTTGCCCGCCTGGCGATGGTTGGGGCCCGCCCGTCACCAGCGACACCACCCTAAACGGTGTCCCCTATGCGCCCTTTTCCAAGGGCGACAAGCTTGGTCGCATGGCCGACTGGACTTCCGAGGGCAAGGACAGGGAAGGCCGCGGCGGAAGACAGCAGTACAACCGCAACTACCGTGGTAAGTCTCTCTACATAATCCTCTTCGTCGAACCCTGGCGGGACGGCGGGCAGGAACATCGTCGCTGACCCTTGCCCATTAACAAAACAAAGACCAACAAGTCTACGGTGCCGGCCACGCCATCTCCTTCAACGCTCCTCCAGCCGAGGACGAGTCCACCTTCTCCGTCGTCAGCAACACCCGTGACAGCGCCAAGACAAGATTCGGCCGCGGCGCCGTCTTTACTCGCGGCGGCCGTGGCCAGCGGGGCGGTGCCAGCACTACTGCCCGCGGCGGCCGGACCACGCTCGCCCGCGGTGGCCAGCAGGGAGGCCGAGGCGGCTACGGAGGCGGCGGCTTCGACCGGGGTGGAAGAGGCGGCGGCCGCGGCGGCCGTCGTTTCGGCTGGAAAGACTACGACAAGCCCGCCCGCAACCGCGATGCCAGCATCAACATCAAGGCAGACTGGAAGCTCCTCGAGGAGATTGAGTACAATCGTCTCGCCAAGCTTAACCTGGATGCCGACGAGGGCGAGGATGTCGACGCCTACGGCTTCGTTTACAACTACGACCGCTCGTACGACAAGCCTGCTGTTAAGGGCTTCGAGCGCAAGCTCAACGCCATCGACCGCGCCGCCTACAATGTCACGACTTCTTCCGATCCTGTGATCCAGGAGCTCGCCGACAAGAACGAGGCCTCCATTTTCGCCACCGACAGCATCCTCTCCATGCTCATGTGCTCTCCGCGGTCCGTCTACCCTTGGGACATTGTCATCTCGGTGCAGGGCAGCAAGGTCTTCTTCGACAAGCGCGACAACGCCGCGCTCGACATGGTCACGGTCAACGAGAACGCTGCCGACTCCCCCATGGACGCCTCGGACGGCTCCAAGGACAGCATCAACATGCCCGGAGCCCTCGCCGAGGAGGCCACCTACATCAACCACAACTTCGCCAACCAGGTCGTCGTCGAGGCCGAGAACCAGAAGCTCGAGATGGCCCACGCCAACCCCTTCTACAACGCGTCCGAGGACACGGACCCGCCCGCCTCCAAGGCCTACAAGTACCGCAAGTTCGACCTCTCCACCAACAGCGAGGAGGACAACACCTACCTCATCGTGCGCACAGAGGTCGACGCCGTCCAGAAGAACGCCATCAGCGGCGACGACCAGCTCGTCACCCTGCACGCCCTCAACGAGTTCGACAGCAAGGCCCAGGGCAGCGGTGGCGCCCTCGACTGGCGGACGAAGCTCGTCAGCCAGCGCGGTGCCGTCGTCGCGACGGAGATGAAGAACAACTCGTGCAAGCTCGCGAGGTGGACAGTCCAGAGCATCCTCGCCCGCGCCGATGTCATGAAGCTAGGGTATGTCTTTCCTTCTTTTCCTTTTCTTCCTTTCTCCTGCTGCTTCACTAGAAACCCCCTCTAATAACGTCCCGCCACGCTAACACACGCACTCCAGTTTCGTGTCCCGGGCCAACCCCAAGTCCAACGACAAGCACGTCATTCTTGGCGTCGTCGGCTGGAAGCCGCGCGACTTCGCCAACCAGATGAACCTGTCGCTCTCCAACGGCTGGGGTATCGTCCGCACCATCGCCGACATGTGTCTCAAGCGCGAGCAGGACACCAAGTACATCCTCGTCAAGGACCCCAACAAGTCCATCCTCCGCCTGTACGAGGTGCCCGCCGGCAGCCTTGACGACGACGAGGAGCACGAAGAGGTGGCTCAGGAGGGTGAGGGTGACGAGGAGTAAGAAAGGAAAGTACCTTGAACGGAAAGAGGAACCTCTCGGCGCCCTACCTATGATCATCCAAAGATCCGAGGCAAAAAGGGCGAAGACACAGCATTTGGTCTGTATGTATGTGGATGTGCGCGACAGAGAGATCGGAGAAACGGAGACGAGAGAGGAACTGAGACGAGGAAGGGTGGAAAAGGTTTAATCCCAGTCCAAGATGCCTGGAACAAAAAGGACATGGCTTGAACAGTCGGCCGCCGGGGCGTCGGCTACGATGTAAAAAGTCTTTCTTCGACGTGGGGTAGGCACGTATAGACGTCTATGGAGTAACGCATTACGGACATTTCTTCACTCGACGCCTTGCCGTGACGCCTGTGGCTTCTCTCTTCGTCCCTTTTCTTTCGTCTTTTATTCTTCTTCTTCTCCCCCCTCTCCTCCGTTGCCTCTCCCGTTTCTCTTCCGTTTCTCTCCCGACGTTACCCGATTTAGGGTTTCCCGGTTCGGGCTGGTGATCGCGGGCTGCTTTTTGCGCCCGTTGCGCAGTCATCATCCTGGGCGGGAGAGTCGGCTTTCTGTGAATCTCGTTGTAGCAAGTCCCTCGCACACATCCGCCCCGCCTCCCGAAGCTCACGCATTCGGAGACGCTGCGAATCTCCGGGGGAGAGAAGCTTGGAGGGGCCTTTGGGAGAGAATGCTGACGATGGAGAATCTTTACATGCGGCGATACCCCCCCCCCCCCCCCCACCTGTCGAGTGGTGGCTAGAGTCCACGCATGTATCTGCTCGCGAGGAGGAAAAGCGGCTAACCTTGGGGGGCACACTTCCACATTGGATCACCACCAGTGTTGGTTGCTTATCGCTTTCACCAAGTACCAGCAGTCAGACTGAAGAGCGTTTGGAATATTTCCCATTTCTTTTCCTTTCCCCTGTCCCTAACAAAAAAGTCGTTCTTTTTGGAATCTCTCTAAAATGCCCACAACGCCGGAAAAAAAAATCCATGATGGGATGCCGTTCATGCCAATCATTAAACCACCCAAAAAGGGGGTTTGCATGGGGTTCTCCCGTTTCTTCTTCCTTTTGTTCGTTTGTCGATTGTCCAAATTCGTGTCTCTGATGCTTTAGAACCTCTCCTTCATGCGCGCAGCGACCGTCCGCAGATTGCCGTAGACCTTGGAAGGTGGCTTTCCGAGAATTAGACTGACGATGGACTCGCGGGCCATGTGGATGTTCTTGTAGGCGCCAAGAATGTGGATCTTGCTGTCGGCCAGGACGATACGGGTCTTGCTGGCGTTCTCGATGGCGACTGTTCCGACGTGTCAGTAGTTGCGACTCAGGGTGCGGAATTAGGGGAGAAGGGGTCGGATCCATACACTTGGTCTTGCCGTCCTTGCCCGCAATGCGGCCGATGGCACGGCCTTGTGCCTCGTTACCCATAACCTGCTTGACGTCACGGATCTCGAATGTCTCGACTGCGGGCGGTGTCAGTACTTCCACATCATAGGGACGTAGATGGTATGGGTAGCCTTACTGTAGAGGTCGTCCAGACGCAGCAGGGCAATGGCGTCGTCGACGTCGAAGCCCAGGGTGAAGGCCTTGACAAAGTCCTCGCCCTTCTGCAGGGCGCCATCCTCGGTGGTGTGCTTCGAGGTGCGGAGCTCGACTTGTTTCCGGCGCGGGTTCATGCGAACCTGAAGCTTGAGGTGCTCGACGAGCGGCGGGTAGACTGGGCGCTGAGTGTCAGCGTGACTGGACCCTCGAGTGCAATGCAAAATCCGGTGATAAGGGTAAAAGCGTACTCTTGGGCCAAGCGGACTTGAGGGGTGTGAATCTATGAGGAGGCACGGGCACCTTGCGAGTCTCTATTCTGGTGACGGGGTCCTGGGAATAAGGGTTTAGTTCCTGATGTTGGCATCATGAAAGACGAGGCAGGAAGGGTTGGCGCACGATGTCTCTGGCGGGCGCGAAGCGCGGGCGGTTCTCCTCGTCGACGACCATCTCGCCCTCCTCTCCATTTTGCGGCACACTAGGAAGGATCGCATCCATCTCCTCGGGAAGAGTCGGCGCATCGAGGAGGAGCTCCTCGTCTTGCTGAGGCTCTTGGAGGGTAGCCTCGAATGGCGGGGCAGCGACCTCCGCCTGCTTGATGGCGGTCGGGGCAGGCATGTTGAGTGTTTTTTCTTTTATTTTCCTTTTACGGTTGCTATATGGATTATGAGCTTCGACGGGTGGTGAGAGACTCGGTCGTGCGGGCGTATATCAGCCTTGTTGTTTCGGGGTTGGATTGTGTGTTGGAATCGAGTCGGTCTGGCGGGGGTGTGCGGTGGCAGACGGTCGTGAAGAAAAAAGCGGCGGGTGCGCCCCCAATTGCCACTGCCGTATCGATTTATCGCCGAATTCCAAAATTTTGTGTTTCGTTATCGATAAAGCCGCGACCGGGGGGGACGGTACCAGGGACTTCAGCCCAGTTAAGCCACACTCGCTGGCTAGGTAGGTAGTTTAGGTGTGCGACGGCCAGCAAGAGGCCCAGACCCGCTGCACGGGCCATGTTTTCTACTTTGCGAAATTTTCCTGATGAGGTGATGCCCCATACCTAGGTAGGTACACAGGGTGTTGCTAAGGTACCTTTGGTGACGGATCCTGCCGGGTTCAGCGAGGTAAACTAGAGCTGTGGTACCGCGTCATGGATGACTTTTCAAAGGTACCCTTCCCTGGCCTAGCTTTACATCTCAAGTCATTTCTGCATGAGCGCATGAAATGTGCCAGCATTTGCCGTGTATCTCCCTCGATACCAACCTGCTTCGCCCCTCTCTGCGTCTCCGTTTGGCTCCTTTGCGGTAAACAAACAGCGTTCTTCTTCTTTCGTTTATATCTTTGCCATTTCGTCGCCGCTGTCTCTCTCTTCAACCAAGGGACAGGATGAGCTGGAGACATGCCTAACCCTTCGACGACTCTAATCGGGCGTCGTCTCTGGTCCTGCGCCTGCGGATCAGCGCAGGCTTTGGGTCTGCGAGGGACGACCATCACTACCGCGACTGCGAAGAATACCTGCCTGAAAGCCAGTCAACCGGCTGTCAGCCCCTCCTACACCAAAGCGAACGCATTTAGAAGGTCGATACATTCAGGGCCGCAACACTCATTCCCGCGGCCAAACATCCATACTGCGCGCCGAAGCTATACGGGCAGCGGCCTGCTACTTGTCGGGCTCACCACCAATCTCGCACCTACACAGGCAACAGCAGCATGCACCGCCGCTGCCGAGTCCGCCACCACCAGCGGCCTGACGAAGTCCAATGTTTACCAGCTAGCCCGGCAAGCGTGGCGAAGAGGGATACACAGCAACTCGAGGGGTGACGGTCTTGCTGAAAGGAGGCATTATGGCTCCAAGAGTGGGAAACAAGAGGAGAAGGGCACGACGGCCCAGCCGAGGCAGGATGTATCGAAGCAGAATGTACCGAAACCAGGAGAGCAGGGGAAGTCAGACGTAACGGACCCCGACGCCGAATCCATTACATCCGCCATGTCGAAATATCTGCACATACCGAAGATGCCACACCGGCCCACCCGGGACGAACTGTTAGCCGCCGCTAACGGATTCCTGGGTCGCATGAAGGTTCGATTCAAGTGGGTGTCCATTAGGAGCATGCGACCGTGGAACATTGATGAATGGGGCGCGTTCCTGTCGTGGTTTCTCTTCGGCCACCTTGTCTGGATTCTTGTCGGGACCACGACGTTCTTCTCCCTGGTCATCTTCAGCATCAACACCGTTTTCGCGCAGGGTAAGTTTCTTCATACCGTTGGACTGGTTCCGCCCCTGACAAAATACATACAGAAACCCTCGCCAAGTGGGTTGGCGACTCTCTGACCGAATCTGCCGGTGTCACGGTCATTTTTGAGTCGGCCATTGTCCCCAAGTGGGGGGCCGGTGTAATCAGCTTCAAGAACGTTTTTGTGTCACGGCGACCAGGACAGGTCACGTCTTCGGTGAGCAAGGGCTCTTCCGAGAACGCCGCGGCGATAGCGGCTACCGGAAAGCAGGCCGATCAGGATAGCCAAGTCATGGAAGAGGACGACGGCAACTACACCCAGTACGACCTGACCATCGCCACGGTAAACGTGACCTTGTCATTCCTGAAATGGTGGAACAGGAAGGGTTTCCTGAAGGACGTCGAAGTAAAGGGCGTCCGTGGGGTGGTCGACCGCACATCCGTGCAGTGGTCGGACGAAGCGGTTGACCCCCTCTCTTACCGCCACACCCATGAGCCCGGTGACTTCGAGATCGATTCCTTCAAGCTGGAAGATCTCCTCGTCACCGTCCACCAGCCCAACGGCTTCCGGCCATTTTCGGTCAGCATTTATTCCTGCGAACTGCCGCAGCTCAGGAAGCAGTGGCTGTTTTACGACTTCCTCTCGGCGACGCACATGTCCGGTTCGTTCGATGGCTCTCTGTTCACCATTCACCCGCGCCAAGTCCACGGCACCATCGCTGGTGAGAATGGAGACGTCGCAGATGATGTTGGCGAACCGTCGGCCTGGAAGAAGTTTAGCCGTCTGCGCATCGACGGTCTGAAGATAGACCACCTCAACCGAGGTGTCGTGGGTCCGTTCGGCTGGATTTACGAGGGCAACGTCGATATCGTTGCCGACGTCATGTTCCCCGCAGACGTTGACGATGGTATCACTAAAGTCATGTCGGACTTCTACGATCAGCTCGAAGACGTCGTCATCTCCAACCGTATGCGCCTGCTCCAAAAAGATCTCCTGGCGACCACTGCCTCGGACCTTTTAGGGCCCACGCCCACAGAAGGCCATCTTTCCCAGGCCGCACCGGGGCCCGCCGGGGATGAAGCCCAGGAGTCTCCCGACACACCCGGATTTTTCGACTTTTCAGAGGAAGACCGAAGGTACTTGATCATGGATCTCCGGATCCACATGAACGATGTCAAGGCCGCCGTGCCTCTATTCACCAAGGACATATCATACATTAACCAGGCTCTTGTGCGTCCCATTGTGGCCTACATCAATGCCAAGAAAACATATATCCCCATTAACTGCCGCATTGTCAAACGCGTCACCGACTTTGACGGCAGCTGGTCCATCTTCGACTGTGGTCTCATGGACGATATGTCGGCCGAGACCTACGAGGCATTCGCACGCGATATTGAAGATCAGCAGAGCCGCGTTCGTCGGCTCAAGAAGGTCGGCTTCTGGACCTTGAGTCTTGCCGTCCACGCACTCTTTATGGGAATGGCAGGCAATGTCATCTAAGTGACGCACATAACGGCTCTCCTCTTACTTTTGACTTTTTTTGCTTTTCCTTTTGGGTTCTTGCCCTCTACGCGAGCACGGCCGTCTGTAACGAGCGCATGATTTCTGCTAGTGACGTGGCGAGGCGTTCCATCGTGTATAGAAGAAAGGGGGGGCGGCAACAACGCCATCAACTGTGTACATATAACGGGCGAGGGTAGAGTTTCGCAGCTTTGCCCTGTGGGTGGTTTTGATATAGGTTTCAGGCCCGCCCACTCAACACTACTCCGCTGATGTTTTATTTATCTATCTTGGAGGCGAGGCGTTACCTTTCGATAAACGGGAACACATATACTTGGTAGGGGAAGAGGTAAACGACGAAATAATTGATACCCCTATTTTCAACACGCGTGGCTGCTGGACGTATCTGTGACCATGCTTCCCACCTGTAATGTTGTTACTATCACAAGACTGAACGACCATGTCCGACTCGTCCTAAAGAAAGGGGGGATACGACTTTGGTGTTGTTCATAGCATAACGCATGAATACACGTATGTGCATGTCATCCAGGGTCATGGTGATAAACCATGCCCATCATAACAATACCCTCTACTCTGCTGCGACTCTCCGGGGCTGAGCTGTGTGCGCATGAGCTCGGGCAATGACACTCGACAGCCCGGCGTACTCGGGGTCTACTCTAGGCGGAAACCAAACGCATCGGCTGGGGAGAGTGGTGAAAGGGTTGCCTTCTCGCATGGCAGGCATGATTTGGGTAGCGGGGATCTTCTTCAAAAGGGGCCACAGCCGCACAACCGTATGTTGTTCGCCACGACGGGAACTGCGTCCACGTCCACACCCAATGGCATTTGTTCGTAAGCGAGGATGGCTATGAACCTGCTTCAAGACTCCAGTGAGGGCGCCAACACGGAGGAGTATCCCAGTAGGTCAAGGAAGCTAGTCGCACATCGGCCGGTATGGACCCTTGTGAAACCCCTGAGATGTGGGAGAGAGACCACTGTTGCGGGATGCATCCCTTGAACGTCATTCAAATATATCGTGTTATGTTCTCGCTAGCCTAGCCCAGTTACTTGTCACTCGTAAATGACTTTTTTTCTCCCTCACACCATGCGGGGAAATGATGCACCCAGAGCCCATGGACTCTCTATACACTGCAATGATGTCCCTTTGATCAGCGTCTGCCTGTCTTTGAATCACCGCCGACTCTCCAACCTCTAACAATCTGGCCCAGCCCGCACTTTCCAGCAGCACCGAACAGCCTGCGAGCCCTCCTTTCCAAGTAACCCGTACTGCGCCATGGCGCAGCGGGGGTTGGTTTCCGCGACAGCGACGCCGGAACTTGAATCTAAGCCGCTGCCGCACGCTTCGGTACGAAGCCGCGCCAGATCTGTTGGCACGGATTGGGCTCGCGGAGGTATAAGAGGCTGGAGTCTGGGCGTGGGAGAATATTGCAACCCTGCCTTCTGCTTCACATAAAGTCGTCGCTGGAAAGGGGTTAGCGCTGGTAGGGAGCAACGGACCACCGGCCAACTCACTCTCCGAAACCGTCATCTTCGTAGGTCTCGGTGTCAGCAGTAGGGGCACGGCTGACAACAGCGGAAACCTTGGTCTTGGCCGCCTTGCTCTTTTTGTTGCCACCCTGTGCGGCTTTCTCCTCCTTCATCTTCTCGTTGCCGAGGGCGGTGAGGGTGCTGGCAATCTTCTTGATCTGGTCGCTGGGAAGGTCTTTGGCGAGGGCCTTGGTGAACTCCTGGAGGAAGAGGCCGTAGTGAGCCTTGCGGGAGTTGTTGGCGAGGATGGGGGTCAGCGTGGTGCGGAGGTGCTCAAACTGGGTCTTGGTGGTGGGGTTGAAGAGGGGCATATCAGCGATGTTGGCCGTCTTGGTCGGGTCGTTGGGGTCGATCTGAACAGCGGTGCCGGCGGTGTTGGCCTTGCGGCCGGCGGGGACGCCGATATCACCGAAGAGGTCTTCGGCGTGCTTCAGGTCCGACTCCTTCTCGGTGCGGCGGAGGCGCTCTCTCTTCTGGGCCTCGGTCTCCTCCTCGTCAGAGTCCTCGGCTTCGAGACGGGCGCGCTCTTCCTTAAGCTCAGCGATGCGCTGAGCCTTGGACTTCTTATTCTTCTTGGCCTCCTCGAGGGCCTTGGCCTTTGCCTCTTCGGCCTTCTTAGCCTTCTCGCGCTCGACCTCGGAGTCTTCGGCAGCGTCCCAGGAATCGAGAACCTTTTGAAGACGACAAGTTAGTGGACATGGAACAAGACGGAAAGGCACAGTATCGCCGACATACGTCGTCCTCATCCTCCTCGTCCTCGAACTTGCGGCGAATGGGGATGGCGCCGCCAACGGGGGAGGCAGGGCCGGAACTCTCCTCGCCGCTCTTCTCTTCATCTGCAGGGAAACATCATGGTCAGTTCCGTTACAGAAGAATAGCAAGCAATACCATGTGTGGTGGGCCGAGAGGCAGTAGTTGCGCCGTCCAAACAGGGCGGATCATCGCGACATTTTGCCTCTCAGGAGAATTTATGTGTGTGCGTGTGCGGGACAACCCAGGCGTTGATAACTCACCCCACTTCTTGGGAGGCATGATGTCAGATAGCGGTTGCGCGGAGGAAAAGGGAAATAAAAACAATGGCGGCGGATGTTAGAGAACGACTGCGCAAAGAGTCGGACAGGTCTTGCAGGAGAAGTTGGATTATGGAAAGAACTTTCTCGCTTGTCAACGTTTAGGAGAGAAAGGGAACCGGTTAGCCTGGCTGAAGTCGGAAGACACAATTTGTGGAAGGGAAGGGGGGCCTGTGGTTGGGCAGGAAGGAGGTAGAAGGGAGACCCAAGGAAGGGAAAACCCCGCTGGAGCTTCGGTCGTTCCTTGTGCAGCCCACTTACATCCCTCCATTCACCCTCCTGCAAAGGCACGGCTATGGCGCTTGCGCTCATCATATGAAGCATCTCCTGCAGACCCCTTCCTTGATTCAACACATTTCCGTAGACCGTTTCCATCGCTTGAAAGCGGCACTGCAAGTGAATGTTGGCCTAAGTGCCTTTATATTCTACGGGCTCCGATCGAACACGATGCGACAAATCTCTCCCTGCACTGGCCTCCTCCCCACCAACTGCTATACTTGACGACAAACAAGGGATGACTGCTTGTGATAGACTTGCATATCAGTTCGGGTAAATAACTAAATAAATACATAGTAGTAGAACTTGTAAATGACTAATGACATCGCCGAACTATACGTACCAGCTCTAGCTGCCTGCTAACCCCGCCGCCTGAAATGCAGTCTCAGAATACCACATCACCGTAAAAGTTGGTATTGTCGACTTGGCCAGGTAAGAGAGTCACCGAAATCCAAAGCGGCAAGAAGCACTTTAGATGAACTAGCAGAATCATTCGTAAGCCCCTGGGTGTTTTTGACCGGTCAGGTGACGGCCAAAGGCGCATACATGTGGTGTAAACCGCCACGTCGAGGCAGATAGGTGCCTACTTCCTACTGAGTAGGTTGGAATATAGCAGAAACAACACTATAGGGTTGATTCAATAAGAAATATTGAAAGGGACACGGCAGGTCTGTCTAAGCCCACAAGGCAGCAGGTCCTGCATTTAGCAACGTTCTGTTGACAAGAACACACCCCGCCGTCGTCGGATTCACATGTGTAGTAGCATCGCCGATACGATACCTCTCCTGGAGAGGAAGTGTCCTCACGGAACGTATCTTTTGGCCTCATTGGCCTCATTGGCGTTGTCCGACCAAAACGCGAATCTTCCCATGTACTTCTTGCCTTTGCGCCGGTCGAGCCTTCCAAATCATGCACCTTTACAAGCAGTGACTCACCCAGACGACCCCGCGCCTTCCAAACGATAAAAAAAATCACTGGCAAGCTCCTGCCCCTCCAACCGGAAAAGGTACCTACTCAAGAAGGTACGTACTATTCCTTACTGATTGGGACCCACTCCATAAGCCTATATAATGCCCTCCACTCACCAGTCCTTTAGAAGTATTTTCCTCTTTCTTCTTCATCCGAGTGCAAGGGCATTACGCGTATCAGTGAGGATTCGTCCGAGATCGTGTTTTTGCTAGTTGAAAACTATAACTATGACCACTCCTGGTTGGCTTAGGCTGGCCAGGGAATTTTTGAACAACCCAAGATCTCTGAAGATTTCTCTCCCTTATTTGCTTTCATCGCTTGCGGTCCCATGCTGGATCGGGGTGAAGAAGGTCAACTACAACCTACCCTTCCCGACGAAGCTGCTAAACGGTCATTGTGTTGTGGTGATGTACCAGGCGTGCTTTGTGTCGGTTTCTAATGAGGCAATGCTCACTTGCAACGTTCGTCCTGGTGATTTTAGTTTTAGGGTGACAATCTTGAACCATGATGGATTTTTAAACACTGAGCGTTGGCCGCGGCGATTGAACCGGAGCATGACGAGGCATCTCCGACAGCGGCTCTATCTGCTCTCAGTCGACTTTTTAATTACAACGTTGGATATCTCGCAAACCAATGTCGTCAAATAGACGGACATGATCCGGCGCGATGGGTGTCGTTCCGCGCCTGCAGAGCCGCCTGCTCCTGATCGCCCTTCGCCATATGCCTCAAACCTATTTCACCTCGCAGGACCGTCGCACCCCTGGCCAAAATTGTCTATTCTAGTGTTCAATGGCATGATACGCAAAGACAAGACGGTAGAAGGCCAGACCGAGGTGCGGATCCAAGGCGGTCCCTCTTGAAGTCGCACAGGTGAGGTACGCAATGATACTCTTTTCCAACACAGTCGGATAGACACAGTATAGGCATCATTCCCGATACTCAACATTATGAGGCAGAAGGCCAGACATCTGAGCCAGAACGCCCTCCCTTTTGAAAACTCCGCAATATGTCAATCAGTCAACGAGTTCCTATCCATTTCATACACCATCGCGTTTTCAATACAGAGGATAGCCAGGAGGGGGCCCCTGTTCCGTTCCGGGTATTCATCTTCTGACTCAAGGAGTAAGGAGCTACATGCCTATCGACAATCGGCGTGTGCGCTCCTCAATAGGCTAGGCTTTGACGGACTTCTGGGACATACCGGAGCCTCGGTGACGAAATGTAGACATAGGCCTCGCAAAGCCACAAACTATTCCTGTCCGAACCTGCGCCCGAGTACGGGATCTCGAATAGAAGGAAAAAGAGAGGCGGATAGTACTCTGACCAATCGTGTTTGCACGAAAAAGGCGCGGAACCTCTAGCTAATGCCCACGAGCCCTTTGAGAGAAGGTAGATCTTGCATCCCGACAGCACCCGTTATCAGCGCCGCACAGCTGGTCCAGCTGACCCAAACCACGCTGCCGCTGCCCTACCTACGGGGCAACCCCCCGCGCCCGCGGCCTTTGCTTTGCATTTGGCCGTCTTACACGCCCCCACCGAGGGCGGCGTCTCCCACATGATCCCCATTGGAGTAACGAATTTTAGAGAAAGGAGGTCATTGGGTTTTGGCTTTTTTTCTTTTCTTTTCTTCTTCTCTATCCCTGGCCACAGTTACCCGGTCCATCTTCGTTCGTCCCTGCCATTCCCCGTCCTAGGGCTGCGTGTAAGCCGTCTTCGCCGGAACCGTCATCTTCCTCACATTGTGAGACCCTGGCCGCCATGGTCGCCCATGATGCTATATGGATATAAGACTGCACCGTGAGCCTCCCTCAGGCCGTACTTCCACCGGTCACCAAAGACAATAAATAGCAACAGCATTATTGAACACCATCCAATCTCGACACGTACCTACCATTCTTACTTTCAAAGTCACACCTCACTCATGCTTTCATCACGGGCATCCACCAGACTCTGTGCGCCGAAGCAGGCTGCCCAGCTTGCCCGGGCGGTGGCGCCTCACAACATGGTCTCCTCCTCCTTCGTAGGCTACTACTGCCACTCGACCGCCGGCCTCCGCATCTCGGCGATGGCCTCCCCGCGGTCCTTTTCGACAACGCCCGTCACCCGGCTCAAGGACTTCTTCCCCGCCAAGGAGACGGAGCACATCCGCACGACGGCACCGGCATGGCCCCACCCGGGCTACACCGAGCAACAGATGCACGACATCGTGCCGGACCACCGCGAGCCGCGCTCAGCCAGCGACTGGGCGGCCTGGAAGTTCGTGCGCCTGGCGCGGTGGTGCATGGACCGGGCGACGGGGCTGGGCAAGGAACAGCAGGTCGACAAGAAGAACCCGACGACGTCGCTGATCGCCGACAAGCCCCTGACCGAGTCACAGTGGCTGGTGCGGTTCATCTTTCTCGAGAGCATCGCCGGAGGTAAGTCTTGGAAGTCCCGCACCCCCCACCAAACTTGCCGTACGTCAGGACGCTGACTCCCGCCATCAGTTCCGGGCATGGTCGCCGGCATGCTGCGGCACCTCGGCAGCCTGCGCCGCATGAGGCGCGACAACGGCTGGATCGAGACGCTCCTCGAGGAGAGCTTCAACGAGCGCATGCACCTGCTGACTTTCATGAAGATGTCGGAGCCGGGCTGGTTCATGAAGGTCATGATCCTCGGTGCCCAGGGCGTCTTCTTCAACGGCATGTTCCTGTCGTACCTGGTCGCGCCAAAGGTCACTCACCGCTTCGTCGGGTACCTTGAGGAGGAAGCCGTGCACACCTACACGCGCTGCCTGTATGAGATCGACCAGGGCCTCCTCCCCAAGTGGTCCGATCCCAACTTTGTCATTCCCGACATTGCGGTTCAGTACTGGAAGATCCCGGAGGGACACAGGACGATGAAGGACTTGATTCTGTACATCAGGGCCGACGGTAAGCGATCACCACCCACTCACCCACCCAGGCAAATCGCAGCACGTTAACGACGGACCACAGAGGCCGTCCACCGAGGCGTTAACCACACCCTGGGTAACCTCAACCAGAAAGAAGACCCAAACCCGTTCGTCAGCGAGTACAAAGATGGTCACAAGCCGAACGCTGCACTGAGACCGCAGGGGTTCGAGCGCGAAGAGGTCATCTAGGAGACCACGGTCGAGGGAAGGCTGCGATATACGGCATCGCCTGCCTGGTTTCGCGATGAACTAGCCACGATTACAGGATCGTCTGTGGGAACACCAAATTTCCTTGCGTTTTGCCGAAAGTTGTAGAAGAGAACAAAACTAAGGACCGAACAAGATACCACTGGAAAAAGGGGGGCTCGGTTGGCGTAGAGGCGTTTGTTTGTTGGGAGACGGGCAGCCCTCCCCACTCAATGTAAAATACGGATACCGGGAAAGACATTTGACATTCAAATTTAAACCGAGTTGGTAAATTCCCATGTTGGTTCGGCTGAGAGGCACTTGGTGTTTGAACGGCTTTCAAGGCAGACCCCCCCCCCCCCCCCCCCGGGCCTTCCAGCTTCGCACCCGGAACCACAAATGCTCAGCTGGCGGCGTCGGCAATGGAAAGGTAATGAAACAATGACTAACGACAAGTCACTGTTGCGGGTAGGGGAGTTGACGATGCGCGAGATGGTTCGAACAGCGCAGAATGCGCCCCCTTCCCCCTTGGCAAAAGCCGGTGTGACGATTCTCTTGGAAGACAAACAGTGCGGCCGGCTTGGTGCTTCGGCTGTTCTTTAGAGTGATCGACGAGCACAGTTGCATCATGGCACGATCTTGCTCGTTGATGCCGCCTCGCCTACGGGACGAACGGGGTGATGCCCTCGCGGGCAATTGATTGTAAACCACGTCCAGCTGCTGGGTGTCAATCTAGAATGGTCTGATCTCGGGGGGGTACGATGGGCTGCGGTGGGGTGGACGACTTTTCCAGAAGCAAAAGATGAAATACCGGAGCGATGGAGATCCCATCTCCGGCGAAGCGACGCCCCTATGACGCGTCGTCCTGTCTTGACATGTTAGACGCATGCCAGTCCCAGGTGTACGGTCCGGTTCGTATTTCCGCAAGGTTTCTAAAAATGGATTTGAGTAGGCCGGGGGTGTGACACTGGCCCGAGGCCCGCCCCGTCATGCCACCCCCCTCCTCTCCCCCCGGCCTCGACGGGTGTGGAGAACGAGAGGGTCCTGAACGGATTGAAGACGGGCCCTTAGGAGAGGGCCATCCCTCGAATAAGCTTCTTCCTGCCGCGCGGCGGGATTTCGAACACGGGACAGAAATGCCATGTTGGACAGGTCTGGCCTTTCTTTTTTTTTTGGGGGGGGGGGGGGGGGGGCATAAAGCCCGTGTGGCTGTGCCATGCGGTATTCGTCCGTCCTGCAGCGGGCGGCGGGGTCGTTATTGGCCAGTTCGACAGGGAGAGTCATGATCCACGGGAGATAAATTACACCTGTTTGTACCGAACTGTGGGAGGATGCGTCCAGCTCCGTGGCAGCGGGTGATCTGGGTTTCGGCGGATAACTTGCATAATTATCAAGGCGAGCAATCGAAATCCATTCCGTTTGTTGCCCAGGCTGATGATAATTTCCGACGCCGGCAAAGATGGGGTCTGTCTCGTCCCAACCACGCTGTTCCCGCAGGCAGCTCGTGCCTTGCCTTGCACCAACGAACAGCAGGGTGAGGCAGGTGCCTGGCAACGATGATGGCCGCCATCTCTAGGCAGTGCTCTCCCACTTAGTACCTCTGGGAGCGATGCATGTGACGAGCTTGCGCAGAGTCGCTGACAGGTTGGCAGTGTTGTTTGGTTTGCGGCAGTTGGATGCTTCGCTCACCGACGAATAGGCGGGTTGATCAAGGGACGACTAGTGTTAATGAGCGTCAGCATCATCCTCCTGCGAGGCAACATTGCTTTTTCGAGAGAACAAGGTCCGCTGTGCAGTCAACTCCTTTGGCCGCAATCCCCCCTTCTGCCTTTGGTTCCATATAGTGTCGACCACGAGCCATGGTCAAGGGTGTAGCGAGAGCTGAATGGTGCAGGCGTTTGATGAGGTGCTCATCTGGTCGCCCACTTGCATCTCATGTCTGGCGCTCATCATCGCCGCTGCTCCATACGGGCTCTTTCATTCGATATGAACATGGAGGGGTGGGCGCGGGAGTTGAACACGTTCAGCTTTTGTAGAAAACAAAAAACAAGTTGGAGTTGATTACCTAACGACGAATCGTTAGGCGGTACATGATTTTATCAGGAAGCCTGGTAAGCTGGATTTTGAAAGTGGAAAGTGGAAAGTGGGTGGACGGCGCCTGCCAAATCATTATCTGATGGCTCGGTATCTGGCTGGAACGGGGTTCAAATTTTATAATGACCATGGTGCTGGCGACGGCGGCGCCTACGGCGCATGGGGAACGCCGGTGACAGGCCACCACACCAGCATCTTGGTGCCGGGAGGTTGCGATGGGCACCAAGTGGCTAGTGTCAGTGGATGACATAAAACGAGAGATGAAGAAGACCAGACCGAGCAGACGGTCCGTCGTGGAACTGAGACATCCAAGTGAGCGTGTTACAACCTTACGACATAGCTAGAAGTACCTAGCAGGATAAGCGCCAAGGCCAAGCAATGAACAATGTAATTTCAAATTATCGGGTCGTGTCGTGTGGTGTCGTGTCAAGCACCAGGCACACTAGATTGGATGGCACGGATCGGAAACGAAAAGGCCGCCAGCAAGGCAGACTCGAGCAAGCAAAAAAAAAACAAAAAAAAACGCCTAACCTCACAGCTGCAGTTCCAGGTTTGGAACTACCATCCACGACATGGGCCAGCAAGTTGGAACGTGATCCCCCCCTGGAAAGAGGGACTCCCAACCAATCCGGATGCTGAAATGCGGAAATGCCCGCCTCAGCAGAAACGGTCCACCTGGATCGCGTGTATCTGTCTGTCTGTCTGGGACAGCTCAGACAGGGAAGCAAATGGCGGCCAGGCCAGGAAGGACATTGCGTCTCGAGACAGCCGTCGCGACAAGACCGGTTAAAACTGCCTCTTGGTTTTGGAGGAAAGAAAAAGAAAAAACAAAAACAAAAGAAAACCCCCCCGTTGGTCTGATGTACGAACGAGCTGCGTCTAATAGACGGGTCATAGGTACTCGAATCAATCCATCGGTAAGCACGTCGCAGGACGACGCTAGACATGCTTCCCGTTCGTACCTGTTTACAAAGAATAAGACGACAGACGAGATGGGTCTTTTGGTGAGATGCTCAAATTCAGACGGGCCTTCCTCCTGTCAGCGCATTCTTACCCATGCTCATAAGCATCGTGTATTACCTAGGTACCGTCCGTACCTTATCCCAGATGTTCCTGTTCCTGTGCCCGTTCGAAACAAGACCCCCCCGCCTCCGTAAGGCACGCTAGAGTGGGTGGCCGTTTTCCGTTCGTTTCTTTGACCCCTGGACGTCATGCGCTAGCAAAGCAAGGCTTCTGTCGACTCCCTGATTTCTGATGATTCCCTTTACCTTTGCTGCCTGGAAGTGCGTTTTACTAGGTATCGTAGCCCACATATTTGGGCCGTCCTCGGTGCCAACATCGTCGAGCTCGGTCTCGGTACGAGTCTCTCCCGACCCCCTTCAACGCCGGCCGGCGCACTTGTGTTGCGACAGACACCTTGTTGCACAGTTCCGAGTTACAAGCTTTCTCCAGCAACCGGCGAAGCCGTCCAGGGCCTTGCTTTTTCTTTTATGCTTCTTTTCTTCTTCTTCTTCTCCCCTCCCGCCTCCTCCTTTCTTCGCATTTGGGGATTAGTACCATGCCCCATCGCAGGTAGCTCACCTCACCGGCCATCCAGCATTCGTCAGCTCGCTCTCGTGCCCGTCTGTGTGGAGGCTGGTCAGCGAAAAGTAATGGATAGCACCGGGCACACCATTCCACCCTCGGCGACGAAACCCGAGCTTTGGGACCCGAGCGACTGTCCGTCGTTGTTGCACTGCCGACGTATATATATAAAATAAAAATAAAAGACCAAGGTGATACATTGACGACCAACTGTTCCTACCTACAACAGACAGACTGTATAGTTAGTTGGATGCTGGGCAGATCTGTCTGCGCGCAAAGTGAGGGTATTTTTGGATTTCACTTTTGCTGGCTCGCAACATTGTAGTAATCTGTCCCATCCAATCGCGTCTTGCTCCACGCATTCGCGCACGCGGCCGGTGCACGTTGAATGGACCCTGGCCCTGGAGCCAACAGAACGTCATCAGGTGTGGTTTGGCTGTCCCGGAAAGCAATGGCCAGAGGGAGGGAAGGGAGAGAGCAGTTGGCGCACAGACACGTCTTGTACGTACGCACTCTCTCTCTCTCTCTTACTCACAAGCGCGAGGGACGGGATGGCTCCAGTCACAGTGCAATACAGTGCAGTGCAGAGCACAGCAGCAAACAGGACCCAGCTCAGCAAAGCGCATTCCAATCGCCGTCGGAGCGCGCCGTTGCAGAGGTACCTAACCTGACCCAACCGCGAGAAGCCAAAGTACGGAATACTTGTTCGGTACGCTCATCCTAGACCCATCTGTAGGTACCGGACTACTTGACATCCGTCAAGTCAAAGACGCCGACAAATCCATCCTCAAACGTGCACAGCCTTGTGGGAACCGCCCAGGTTGGGCCGCTTAAGTGGGTCTATCAACACCAATCACAGCGTCTATACTCCGTAGGCTGTTTCTCCTTCCGTTCCTTAGCCCTCACGTTCATCATCCTTCTTTATGTACCTAGGTACCTGCCTCCTCTCTCTCCTTCCCATCCACCCTCTCACCCCCCCCCCCCCCCCCTTTCCCCCCCCACCTCCCCTCCCTTCTTACCCCCCAGCTGTGACCCGACCGACCACAGAGTCACAGACCCCAATTCCACACCCTGGTGCCGGGTCTGTCTGTCCGGTCCACGTTCCTCCAGTGTGTTCTCCGCCCGCCGACCAAGTCCTCGCTTCCTCATCTCAACTCCTCTTTCGCACACTATAGCATATTACCACTCAGTCTCGCTCTGCCGCACTCTCTCCTCGTCCTTGTTGTCGTCGTCGTCGTCCTCCTCCTCGTCCTCCTCCTCACCCTTACTCAGTCGCCCTTCTCTGAGCCCGGTTACACTTACGTAGACCTACTAGCGACAGCGAATAACAGCTCGTCGCACTCGACTCCTCCCCCCGCCGTCTCCAGTTGGGTGCAGTCAGCTCGCGCGTCAGCACAGCCCCAGGGCGGTGCGGTGCCTGAAGGCTGACTTGTGAACTGCCTCGCCCCGATTCTAAAGACAGCAACGCAACACCACATTGCACACACTTACTCACACACGCGTTGGCGCGCACACGACATCCATCCGTTCCGACTGCCGGCATCTGTTTACATCATGGATCACCAGGGCCAGCGCGGTCGCTCACCGTCTGCGGGGCATCAACAGCCTCATATAAGACACCCGTCGCATTCTCCATCTCCGAATCCGTTCCAGCCCAACACCGAAGCAGCTTCAATTGGTCTCGGTCTCGGCTTGGATCAGTCTGCTACCCAAGCCTTCAACGGAGCCTCCTCCGCCGACTTCTCTAGCTTTAATAACAACACCAACTTCCTCAACGGTCCGCAGCCCGGCCAGCAGTCGTATAATCAACCGGGCGCGAACTTCACCGGCCAGGGCCAGCCCAACTTCCTTGACCCCAACTTTCCCTCGGGCGACTTCGCATTGTTTCCCAACGCCGCCCAGGGTGATTCGCAGTTCAGTACCGGAGTCTTCGAACAGAGCCTCAACTCTGAAATGAACACCATGGCTATGCCTCAGAGCCACCACTCTTCCACTCCCCCGCACCTCCTGAACCCGGATCCCCACCAGACACCATCCGCGCGTCAGTCTCCCGCCTTCACCCAGCACCAGTTCTCCTCTCCGCCATCGGGTCATTCTAGGCATGCTTCGCTTGGTCCCGAGGCAGCGCTGCTGCCGAACCAGCTGAATGAATGGAGCCAGCCCCAGTTCCAACGCCATAGGAGATCCCCTTCCGAGTACTCGGACGTTTCGTCGGCTGCCCCGTCACCGAACCTCGTCAGCGCCGATAGCTTCGACGGCCTTGACCAACGCCATTCCCCGATGCAGCGGCCTTCGGACTCTGGCCTTTACCAGCAGATTGGCTTTGACAACTTCACCATCTCGGACCCCGCCCTCAACAGCCCCAACCTGCAAGGCCGGAGCCCCTCGCACAGTCCGGCCATCTCCCCGCGCATTCTTCCCCAGTCGATGCCCGAGCTGAATCAACAGCAAAACTTTGGTATCGGGAATCAGAGTGCCGGCTTCGTCGGTAGTAATGGCTACACCGGGCAGGAAGCATTCCCGACGCTGCAACAACCCGAGATGCCCCAGGTGGCACCGGCCATCAACATTGAGTTCGCGCCTACAGCAAGACAGAACAGCTTTGAGCCTCCCAAGAACCAGATGGATCAGGATTCTCTGACCCCTCCCGAGCGAGGTTAGTAACACGCATTCCTGGCCGTGGACGATGAAGCTGACAAAACACATTACAGGCCGTCCTCGGTCCCGGCCACGCGCAGTGACGGACCCCTTCAACACTTCCGTTGGAGGCATGGCGCGCCAGAGCTCGGTGGGTGGCTTGTCGCCCCATCTGGGGTCTGACCTCTCTGGCCGCGACTCGTCCCGATCCCTCTCACCGCTCGACCGAGGAGCCACAAGTCCCAATCGCAGACGACAGTCGACCTCGGCCGTGCCGAATAACGTGATTGCGCTTAGGCTGGCGGACCCCGAGTATCAGAGCTCCCAGGACAACGGCAACGCGAAACGTGTACAGAAACATCCGGCTACGTTCCAGTGCACTCTTTGCCCCAAACGCTTTACTAGAGCCTACAACCTACGATCCCATTTGCGAACCCACACCGACGAGCGGCCCTTCGTTTGCACAGTGTGTGGTAAGGCGTTCGCTCGTCAACACGACCGAAAGAGGCACGAGGGTCTGCACTCGGGCGAGAAGAAGTTTGTGTGCAAGGGAGACCTCAAGGCGGGCGGCCAATGGGGTTGCGGCCGGAGGTTCGCGCGTGCCGATGCGCTTGGTCGACATTTCCGGTCGGAGGCGGGGCGCATCTGCATCAAGCCCCTATTGGACGAAGAAATGCTCGACAGGCAACGTGCCTGGCAGGAGCAGCGGATGCAACAACAAAACATGCAAAACATGGCGGCCCAGGGCGCTATGGGCATGGAACCGGGCTACCCCATGGACGCCAGCGGGCAGTACATGTTGCCGGCTGCTCTGCTTGCTCAATACCCGGCACTGGCTCAGATGAACTGGTCGGCGCAGGACCCGAGCAGCGGTCTCGACGACGACATATCAGGCCGGTCGTCTTTCGATGCTAGTGACTACGAAGGCGATGACGGTGGTTATGTCAGTGGACCCGGTACAGGATTTGGTGAAGGGGGCATGGGCCAGAACTTTGGCGAAGTTGGTTATGCCAGTGACTATGGTGGCCGTTAGCGATGGACGTGGTTTTAACTTAAACCCCTCCCCCCTTCGTTTTTTTGTTTTTCTTCTCAGACGTTTTTATGTCTTCTTTTTGCGGCCAATCGCCTACGATACGTACTTTATACTATTCAGTTTTGTTTCTGGGGTTTGGCGCTTCATGATCAAGCGCCGGTTGTAAGGGAAACACTGCGACAACGCCCACAGAGGGCGCTGAGCTGGTGGTCTGGTCACACGGTTTAGAACGCGTTGCTATAGATACCATCATGACGATATTTGCAATTATCATTTCTCATTATTCAGCGTTATGTGTGCTTGGGGTGGACTTGTGAGTGTGAAAGACTATATGAGGAGGGGGTAAACATGCCGCGTTAGGACGTGCTTCTTTCTCCAGGTACGAATGATGGCTCCGGTGCTTATCGGCGATAAGGTTGTGGTTACATCACTTGGCGGGGTCGATCATACGCCCCCTCGCTCGTCACTTGAGGTGGGAGCAAGTTATGTCTCTCATGATGTTATGGCTGTTATTCAATTAGTAATCTGCCAGGCTGGTTGATATGGTAGTCTCGGCGCCGAGCTCGATCCAAAAACCACGCCTAAATCTAGGAATGTGAGACAACAGATGCTGCCCCAGTAAGTACACTAGGAACCTTGCCGGACCCTCCCCAGAGCCAAAAAGAGACTTGTCGTTCTCCGTAAGCTTTTGGGGCAACATACCCTTTTCCACGTGTTACTCGGCCGCCTTTCTTTGGGAGAGGAGGGGGGGCCATATAACAGGGGCAGATAACAGGGGCAGCGCGGAGGTGTCTCACCAGGAACGGCGTATGATCGGCCGCGTTGCTTTGTCGTGCGGGGCCATTGTCACTTTGAAAAGAGTATGATGTGGAAATTCATTTGTAAGCTGAGGGCGGGGCGACGACGATGGATGGGAGAGAGGGTTCGGAAGCATGTGGATCGGATGAGGGGAAGCTGTTGCAATGACGATTCGGACTGTACATAAGGAACGGGGCCTCGGATGCCAGACTTGAGGCTACCTCAACGCTCACGGTCGATCCGAGTTTCGAACCCCAAAGCTACTTTACACCTCTTCTCCCCTGTACCTGTCTGTACTGCCGCCGCACCTGATCCACGAAACACACGGTACGAACTTACACCGCTCATCCTCCACCAAGGACGGCAAGCATGGCGCAGAACCAAGCAGTCAAGACGGTCGCGGCGGGCGTCGCAAAGGTCGTCGACGTGCCCGTCCCCGCCCTCCCGGCCGACGACTACATCCTGGTCAAGACGACGGCCGTTGCCGTCAACCCGACGGACTGGAAGCACGTCGACTTCGCCGACAAGGCGGGATGCGTCGGCATCTGGGTCGGCTGCGACTACGTGGGCGTCGTCGAGGAGGTCGGCAAGGGTGTGACCAAGGACTTCAAGAAGGGGGACCGCATCTGCGGCCCTGTCAACGGATCGTGAGTGGCTGGTGTTGCCCATGCCGTCTTCCGCTCGCTGTTGGGGCGGCAAGGCGGCAAGGAAGCCCTACAAGCTTACTGACGAGGGATGGGCCAGGAACGGGCTGAGGGAGGTCGACGGCGCCTTCGCGAAGTACATTGTCGTCAAGGGTGACCTGCAGATCAAGACGCCGGACAACCTTTCCGACGAAGAGGCCGCGACGCTCGGCATCGCCGTCACGACAGTCGTATGCAGCCCCCCCCCCCCCCTCCCCTCTCAACCATCCCCTTTCTTACTTACACACGCACACTTTCTCTCTCTTCAGCTGCGCGACGAGACTAACACGAAGCGGAATTGCAGGGCCAAGGCCTGTACCAGACCCTGAACCTTCCCCTCCCCACCGCCCCGACAACCGACCCTTCGGCCACGATCCTCATCTACGGCGGCAGCACGGCCATGGGCATCTCGGGCATCCAGTATGCCCGGCTGTCCGGGTACAAAGTCCTCGCGACCGCGTCGCCGCACAACTTCGAGTACGTCAAGTCCCTGGGCGCGAGCGAGGTGTTCGACTACAAGTCGCCCACGGTCTCGGAGGACATCCGCCGGCACACGGGCGACGGGCTCACGCTGGCGTGGGACTGCCAGTCGACCAAAGAGTCGGTCGCCCTCGTCGCCAAGGCGCTCTCGAGCTCCAAGGGCGGTGTCATCGGCACACTCCTGCCCGTCGACACGAAGGTCGCGCAGGAGGTCAACCCCAAGGTCGAGGTCAAGATGACCATATACTACAGCGTCTTTGGTGAGGAGTATGGCTACTTTGGTGAGCATCGCCCCCTCCCTCCTTTCCCTTCTCTTGATGCATGCAATCCCCCAATGTTTACTTCTTTTCCTCTGACCATTCAACCCCGCTGGCAGGCAAGAGGAACGCCGTCCCCGAAGATTACGAGTTCGGCAAGAAGTTCTGGGAGATCAGCCGCGGCCTGCTGGCCGACGGCAAGCTCAAGCCCATCCGCGTCATCAAGAACCAGGGCGGCAGCGGCCTCGAAGGCGTCGTCGTCGGCCTCAAGGAGCTGAAGGAGGGCAAGGTCAGCGGCGGGAAGCTGGTATACACCATCTGAGGGAGGCGGTCGTCAATGGGCTAAGACGAAGAAGACAGGAAGGAAGCATGCATGAAGGTGGAATATTGATATTGGGTTATATCAGGGCCCTTGGGCCCACAGCAAGGAAACATGAGAGTACCGCTGAAACAAGTGACAAGAAAAACAAAACGATGGTATCTAGAAGCATCCCGGGACGATGGGAGAGGGGGGAAACAAAAGGACTTTAAAACGCTTGTTATCCTGCATGTGCATGTGCATGTGCGTGTGTGCGCCGGACCCGCCTACGTCTTGGCCCGACCGACCCTTTGCGCAACCTCGTCGAGCATCTTGTTCACCATGTTGCGATGTGCGGTCTCCATCTGCCCCTTGACGAGGGGCATCAGCATCCGGCTCGTCTCGACCCGTGTGGTCTCGACGAGCTCGTAGTCCCCCTCGACGTAGCCGCCGAGCTTCCCGGCGCTGTGCTCGCCGGGCCACCGCTCCTCGGACCGCGGCACGACGAGCCACTCGGACCAGACGCGGACGCCGGCGGGGGCCTTGGCCCGCGAGCGCAGTCCGTTGGGGATGTTCTGCAGCACCGCGGGGAAGTTGATCTCCTTCTTGACGCCGGGGGCGACGGTGACCTTCTCGTAGATCTTGTACGAGGTGATCTTGAAGCCCGTCTCGAGAAACCACTCGTCGTCGACGACGCTCTTGAGCGGGACGGGCACCTTCTCATACCGCGTCACCAGCGGCTGATGGCGGATGACGGGTGATTGGGACTGCAGCATTTCGACGACAGCTTCCGCCGGGAGCATGCTGGGTAGCGGGATGCGGATCGTAAGGTTGTGGTGGGCGGGCATCGTGACAGAATCCGGCTTTCTCCCCCGCTCCCCGGACTTCGGAGAGGCTTTCGACGTCGCTTGCCGGGCTTGTGAGTGCCTCGTCCGTCGACTTTTTGTACGGCGGTAGCACGAGCTGCACGACGTGAAGAGTTCGAACCGTGGGAAGAAAAGAAAAACGACGTTGCTAGTAGACGCGCGGAGAGCTGGGAGAAAAAAAAAATGGGATGAGTCCAAAGGGCACGATCAAGACACAGCTTGGTTCCCTGCCGGTTCAGGATCAGCGGGGATCCGGGGTTCCTTATGTCTGGAAGGCGTATGGGAAAAGCAGAGAACCTTGTCCTGAGTGAACTGCGGTTTCCCGTGGAACAGGCACATTACGGAGTACTTAGTCGAAGAAGCCGTGGCGGCGGCCGGGGGTCCGTCATCTTTTGTTTCGTCTGATGGTCTGTTCTCCATATGTAGGGGAAGGGGGCTGACGCCGAGTCGGCGTCGTCGCATGGGCCTTGTCGAGAGCAAACGCCAGGCCAAGCTGGCAACCAACAAACAAGTCAACGTCACCCGGAGGATTTTGGCGCCGCGAGGTTGGCGCATACGAAGGGCAGCTTTTGCAAAGCCTAATACTGTGGCTTAACCTGCCCTTGTATTGGCTAAGAATCGTCGTGGGATTTTAGCACATTTTAGGACTTGATACTCGGTGTTGAGAACAATACGGAGATGAAACAAGCGATGATACTATTATTAATCCCTGGCGAAGGCGTGCCTTGGAGTCGTAGTAAGTACTACCTAGTAAGGGCACCGGGCGAGCTCCATTTGAGGCGCTACCACGGGATAACAAAGAAGCCGATCTTGAACCCGGGCCAGCCAGACTGCGCCCTGGGCGGGCGAGAGCCGCTGTGGCTGATGCTGACAGGCTCACCGGGGCACCGGAGAGCCGAGCACGGGTAGATATCTGGCATCATCGCATTTGATCTTGGGATGCAGGGTCGTCTTTCTCAGCGGCAGCATACGATCCGGCCGGAAGCGGGACGGTCCATGAAAATCCGAACATGAGCTTTGGGGCCCGGCTTTTGTTTGCTTTCTGCACCCTCCAGACTTGTTTCCCCTACAAGACCAGCCCTATTGTTGCTTGGTGTGTACGTGAAGCAACGTCAACCGGCTTCAGACAAGGGCCGCGGAGGAAGCATGTGGTTTCTGGTTGATCGTAGATGCAGAGTTTCGGCTTGGCCAAAGATACCCGTGATTTAGGGACTGCGGAGCATAACGCATCCGATCAACAACCTGCCGTCCATAGGTATACCTATAGGTATACAACGGACCCATTACACGGAGGCTCTGGCCATTCATTGCCTGGTGGACGTTGACTTGTGGAACAATAGACGCTTGCATTGATTGAATTTTGTCGGAGAATACTACCGGCGGTACTGCGGATGATTCTATGTATGCTCGTCATTCCAATGATAGCCCTGGCGGCTTGGACTCCAGACAGCGGTTAGAAATGGGTCGATATGAGTCCAATGCTGTTCGAGTCGACTCTGCACCCAGCCAAGTTGGTCAGTCATTCATTCAGGCAATCATTTCTGCATCGTATCCGTACTGCGTTGCCCTCCCTCCCCATCGACCCATAATTTCAACCTGACCGAACATCGTAGGCCTACACTAGTGGACAACTGCTGACACTTCAGGTCTGACCGCCAGAAGACACGGCGAGATGTTGAAATCGACCGACGAGCCTCCACTGACCGGCATCTCTATCGTGTGCATCAATCTGACGCACGCCCTTGGCGGGTCTGGTCTTCGAAAACGGCATGAACCCATCGAGTTTTTAGTTTTTTTTTTCTTCCTTCTTCTTTCTATGCCTGCGTCATGCAGGGAAATCCCAGAATGACATGCTCCATGTCAGTGAGCGCATCATCTAGGTTGCGTTTCTCCTCTCCACTGACAACGAAGAGCTTCAAGAAAAACATATGCGGCATCCTCCAGACACGATAATTCAGCGTGGCTGGTTGGTGCGAATGGGCCCGATGTTGTTGGAGGAATTGAAGCGGTGAAGAGACGCCATACCAATTTGGGCCATAAGTGGAGTGAGGTGCGCCATGCGCTGCTGGAAGGTGGGACATGCAGACGAGACGATCCAGTCGAGGAATGCAGATGCATCTCTCAGACAGGGCCAGACTTGGGATGTGCATGAAGGCCATGTAAGTTCCCGATGCGCAAGCCTGGCAGTGCCGCCAGCGACCTGCGAGCACACCCGTCGCGAGGCGGGCTGCTGGTAGTGGGTAATGTATCGATACCTCATGTCCTGAGGGCGGCGACTATTCGTACGGCGATGAGTATGGTATTGTCGCTTCTGCTCCTCTCCCGCCGACGTTTTGCATCTGCATTTCACTCTTTACCCTTCGGGCATGGACGCATGACCTAGCCTGCCTGTCATCATTAGGGTAATGATGCGCCTGTACACCACCCCGCAGGACATACGGATATTCTGGAGGCAATCAGATGCTTGGCTTGGTTGGTGTTATGTAAATGAACATACTACTCCGTATTATAGGGGCGAGTAAGGAGTGGCTGGATGGGAGTTGATGTTGGGTGTGGATGACAGCAGAGCGTCATGATGAACAACATGGAAGACGGCGGTGCGAGAATGGCAACCTGTGTACAACGAGAGCGAAAATGCAAGGACTTGGTTAGCTACGTTGTGGTTGCAGGGAAGAGGGATGATGGAGGAGGAGGCCCGTAGGGTCTTTGCTATTCACTTTTTAGGAACTGGAGCCCAGCAACATAACAAACTGTCAGTCATTTTTGTTTTCTTTGTTGCCTCTGCAAAGTGCGGATACGTGCTTTCCCGGAACCATCCGAAGTACACTACTTACCGTCTACCTAGGTAGGTAGGTAGCACCTAGGTAGGATAGCTTCCACACGTACATACCTGTACTATGTGGGTAGCATGAAAGAGGCAAACCCCCGTGTAAGAGGCTTGGAAGAGGAAGGCGGTACGGAAGGGTAGGGTAGGGTGTTGGCGGCAAGGGCGTTTTGCCTGTCGGATTGCCGAGCTTAACCCTTTACCCCCCCCCCCATCTTCAAATTGTTCTGGTTCCAATTTCACTTGGTTATCATGACATACCTACCTTGCATTGGGTAGTGTACATGCTGGAAGCGAGCTATGGTCTCGCGGGACAATGTACTTTCCAGTCGTGTTCAACGCGTGGAAACTTGTATAGCAAGCTCTTGAGCATTCCCCATTTCCTGGTCGCCTCTTCTAGGCCCTCCCGTTGCCGTATCGTGCGCCCATGTGCTGCCCGCATGCCCACCCATGACAGACGGGATCCTGGAGAAATGGCATCACCTGGGCGGCAGGCTGAAAAGCAGAGGGTGTCACGGTGGTGTGCACCAAGTCAAAAGACAACACTTGCAGGGATTCGCATGGTCCATATCACACCAGCTCGGCCAATGGCCCGCCGAGACCGCCCCTCATCACTGGCCAAGTTGCCAGGGGTCATGACATGGCCACCCACTCACTGGCGGGACAAGGAGCAATGGATGCCACCTACTTCGTACACTACTGTTGATAGGTATTTCGCCGACCGTGTTACCCCATCGTCAATCATGGGCCGCCATGCTGCTCTAGATCTATTACCTACTGTTGATAGGTACGGATTGCACGCATGCATGCAGCCGAGTCGGCGACGGAGGAGCAACGACTGTAAGACCCAAACCTTTGGACTGGGCCTGATAGACCAGGTAGTCATGGCTGGTATCCGTACCTCATCGAGCATCAATCAACATCCATTATGATTGTTCCTCTCATCTTCAACCTGCCGCGCTCCATCTGTAACACACTTGCCTCGACACACACATTCGCCTGGTTGACTCATCCTTGTGTACATTCATTTTGTATCCGAGACGTCGTTTTAACTTGTTTTTGTTGTACTTTTTGCTTTGTTTTTTTTGTCGTGTTGCATGGCGAGGCAGAACTCTTGAAGAAACAAGACGATACGATACGATACGATACGATACGATACGATACGATACAATACGGTACGACCCGATCCAGTCCGATCCAGGACATTTCCGCACTGGAAGGTGAAGGAAGAACGCCGGTTGGCCGTCGATGAGAGGGAGTCTTCTACAGAGACAGGTCCGATTCCCCCTGGCTTTCGACCTCGGGCAATTAATTGCCTTTCAACCTGGCCAGTCCGAGCCTGAGCTTACATACCGGTAGGTCGATGGGAACGACGCTACGACCGACATAAGGACGCGCCGCAACTCGGATCACGTCCCTGACCGGCACCGAACATCGAGAGCCTATTCGCCCAGCCCGCCGTTGGATGAGCCAAGCAGAGCCCGACGTCGATAGAGCGAATTGACTTGCCAGCTGCAGGTGGTTGTTGCCTGCCTTGACTCCTGCGGGATATTTGGCGGTCTGCAACACCACCATCCACCAACTCGTCTCGCCGCGACGATCCAGCGACGACGCGCCGGGCCATTGGCTCCCTATGCAGAAAGTGGCTTGTAAGAATCTTTCCCCCCCATTCCCCTTCTCCTTCCATCTATCCTACCTGGGCTGTCCCCAGCGTTCTTATTGCTCAGTTCTTCGCCTGTCTGGTTCAACCTCGCCTCAGTCAGGGAGGCTCAGTCGGATTAAAAAAAAAAATAAAAAAAAAAAGAAGGGGTCAGAGACGGCGTGCATCTCCGGAACGAGTACAAAGGTTGGGCGGCTGATTGACTTTCCTTGGACAGCCTTAGGGACCAGTTCGCCGGCCATCAGACGCTCGTGTGCTCGGTGCATTTAGAGAGCCGGACAGCATTAGACGGACGGCGACACCAGAAGCTGCATCCCTGTCTATCGCTTCCACTTGGCCCGCTATCGTCCAGTTCTCCCGCAATTCTGAACAGGGGACCAGGAACATAGTTGATCGAGGGAAGAGAGAGGCAACTCTACTTCCGCTGCCCTGCCCTGTCCTGCCATTCCATATCTTATCCGTCATTCTATGACTTCTCCCCCGCCACAATCCCTTCACCTCACCTTACCCTGAAGGTCCGCCTCCCCTTTCCCCTCCCCCAGGTCCCTTGCGCTGCTTAGCGCCAAGTGGTTCCCGTCCCTTTCATCCCACCTCTACCTCCCAGCCTGCGCAATTACGTCTTTTACTCTACGCGCAAGTCCCTCTCTTTTTTTTCTTTCCTTTTTATTTTTATTTTACTTACTGACTGGCACCAGCCGTGTCCCAGCTCGCCTGCATAGTACGAATCGAATTCACGGGACGCGCTCTATATTGTCCTGTGTCCCCGGCGCAATCAAACCGGTTTTTGCTTTGTCCACCTCGTTCTTTGGTCCAACGGCCTCGCGTTGGCGCGAACTTACTTCCTCTTCCGATACCCTTTGCATGAGGACGAACTGGACGACAAACGCAACGACGGTGAATACGACGACGATTACGAAAACTGCCATATATCCAAAATCCCACTTCCGGTCGTTCCTCTCACCCACTCGGCTTAAGTCCTATGGTTTTCACGCCCAGTTGCTGCAACACCAGTTCTACTTCTCAACATGGCTGCGGCCGCGGTATCGACGTTCTCCCTATTAGGGCAGGCAGGAGGTACATATGGATGGAGAACAACGACCCAATGTGCAAGGATTGAGCGGGAGGAGGCCGATGTGCGCATTCGCTTGCGCATGATCGCGCGCGCCTGGGAATCTGCTTCACACCACCTTCAGGTAGGACCCGAGCCTTCTTCGTCTGCCGTCATCATTTCCCCCAATTTATTCTCTCTGGAATTTTGTGCGCGTCCGTGTCCTTCCAGCCTTGACGCTGCCGCGGGCTCGTCACAGGTCTAACGGCTTTCGTTCGGTGCAGAGGCTAGTCAGGAAAATCTCCTAGGTGGAATCGGGGGAAGTGAGGCGCATGACGCACCCCCCCCCCATTCCACCACTTACACTGCCTTCAGATGAACGTCGGAGCTAAGCTGATCCGCTGACATCCATAGATTTCATCCCATCGCCAACCCCTCAAAACCACATGTGGCATCTCAAGTCCACTGAAAACACCGGAATCTGGCCCGCGATGGTTGCGACGCTTTAACCCGCCATCTGCACCTCTAGAGTCCTCTGAGCAAGTTATGGATCCCACCAACACTGGCGGTTTTGCTAGTCGGCGACCCCCGGACTTCTCCTTCCTCGCCCAGCCTCAGACTCCAAGCACGAATAAACGAGAAGGACGTACCGGCGACACCATTTTCCACGACCCCACGCACAACTTCCTCATCGACTTTGGCTCCGAGGAAGGCTTCACGCAAGCCGCGAAAAAAAAGAAGAAAGCGCCAGCTAAGGCCCCAACCGCCAACAATAACGGTAACGATGACGATGGTGCCAAGAAAGATGACGAAGGTGCCGGCGACGGAGGCGACAAGAGCGGCGATGCAAGCAATAACGGCGGTGCTGCGGGCGATGGGGATGGGGGCGACAAGGAGACGCCACCGCCGGCCGATGATCCACCTCCGGATTCCTTCGACGAGATCAAATTAGACGATGCAGGCGGAGGTGGCAACGGTACGCCTGATATCAGCATCAAAACAACAGAAACCAAGAAGTCGGGGTTTGGCGGCTGGGGTGCAAGTTGGGCATCGGGGACGGGATTAGGATTAGGGGGCTCGTGGGATTGGTCCGGTGCTAACAAGAAGGCGGCCGCGAACACGCCAGAAGAGGCGAAGGAAGAGGTCGATTCGAATCCATGGGGCCTCAGCGCTGCAAAGCCGAAGAAAAAGACAACGACGCTTGGATTCAGCTTCGGGGAGGACGCAGCAGCCGACCCGGAACCGGCCCCCGAGCTACCAAAGGAGGAGGAAAAGAAGGATGATGCCTGGGGGTTCGCTACCGCATTATCGAAGAAAGATAAAAAAAAGAAGAAAACTAGCATTTGGGGCGAAGCTGCGGAAGAGAAGGAAGAGCCGCCCAAGGTAGAAACTCCCGCTGACGACCCATGGGGTTCATGGGGCACCACAACTAAGACAAAGGGCAAAAATGACCCTGAACCCGAACCGCCCAAAGAGGAGACGAAACAGGACGACATCTGGGACACCTGGGGCCTGGGTAAGAAGAAGAAAAAAGAAGAGCCAGCGGTGGTCCCAGAACCTGAACCGCAGCCTGAGCCCGCGCCCGACCCACCAGCTGCCGCAGCGGATCCTTGGAGTTGGGGAACATCAACGAGTAAGAAGGACAAGAAGAAGAAAAAGGGCCTCCTTGACATTGAACCACCCAAGGCGCCGGACCCCGAACCCGAACCAGAACCAGAACCACAGCCGGAGCCGGAGCCGGAGCCGGAGCCGCCAAAAGCTGATCCCTTTGCAGGCCTGACCAAAACGCAAAAGAAGGCGAAGATGAAGGAGATAGCTGCCGCTGAAGCCGCTGCTGCTAAAGCCGCTGCCGCCGAAGCTGCCGCTGCCGAAGCTGCCGAAGCTGCCGCTGCTGAAGCCGCTGCTGCCGATGCCGCCGCTGCCGATGCCGCCGCTGCCGAAGCTGCAGCTGCTGCTGAAGCCGAGGCCGCCGAGAAGGCTCGGCTCGAGGAGGAACAGGCCGCCAAGATGGCCAAGATCGCCGACGAGGAGAAACAATTCGCTGCCTTGGAGGCCAAGAAGGCCAAGAAGGGCAGATTGACGAAGAAAGACCAGACCACCTACGACCAACTAAAGCAGTCTATCGACCAACGTGCCGCAGATCAGGCTGCTGCTGCAGATGCGGAAGCTGCCGCAGTCACTGATGCCGATGCTGCCGCCGCTGAAGCAGTAGAGGCCGCTCGCGTCGAAGAAGAGGAGCGGCTCGCCAAGGAAGCCGAAGAACAAGCAGCAAAGGAAGCAGCCGAGGCAGAAAAAGCAGCAGAAGCGGCCAAGACAGCTGCGGCAGTTGACGATCTCGGATGGGGTGTGACGACAAAGAGCAAGAAGAAGAAGAAGGGCAAGGCCGAACCCGAGCCCGAACCGGTCCCTCCACCGCCGCCACCCGCCCCTGAGCCCGAGCCCGAGCCCGAACCGGAAAAGAAGGACGACCCCTGGAGCTTCACTACCACAACGTCGAAGAAGGACAAAAAGAAGAAGAAGGAACTTATTGCCGATCCTGAACCCCTCAAGGAACCAGAACCCGAACCAGAGCCCGAGCCCGAGCCCGAGCCCGAGAAACCAGCGGAAGATGACTTATGGACCAGCCTGATATCCTCCAAGAAGGACAAAAAGAAGAAAAAGGGCAAGACTCCTGAACCTGAGCCTGAACCTGAGCCTGAGCCCGAGCCGATTCCCGAACCTGCTCCAGATCCTCCCGCAGCTGAGCCGGAGCTGGAACCGGAGACAGAGAAGAAGGAGGAGGACGACTTCTGGGGCGTTGCTTCTTCCAAGAAGGACAAGAAAAAGAAGAAAGAGGCGGAAGCCGAAAAGCCTAAGGACGACTCTTGGGGCATCTGGGGCCTATCTTCCAAGAAAGACAAGGATAAGGACAAGGACCAAGAGAAGGAGAAGAAGAAGAAAAGCAAAGAGGCGCCGTCTGCAGAAGAACCAGAGGCAGAAACAGCCGCAGACGATAACTTGGCTCTGAGCAAGTCGGAAAAGAAAAAGAAGAAGAAGAAGGACGCCATGGCCCTGGTTGAGTTCGGTGGAGAAGAAGAGGAGACCACTCCTGCCCAGGAAGCCCCTCCCGCCGTGCCCAATATTTCCGACCCCATGGATGACGACGGTTTCTTCAGCTCCTGGAACATCGGCAAAAAGGACAAGAAGAAGGGAGCCGACGCTGAGGCTGCCTCAGTGAGACCTGATGCAATTGAGGAGCCGGCAGACGACATCTGGGGAACATCGTCATCCAAGAAAAAGAAGGACAAATCCAAGAACGAACCTGTGGAAGTCATGGACGAAGAGCCTAATGTGGATTCCGTACAACCAGACTCGGTCGAGGAGACCAGAGACAAAGGCGAAGATGATGATTGGGCCGCCTGGGGATCCTCGAAAAAGAAGTCTAAGAATCGTAAGGACATACTCGCCGACCCTCCACCGCCAGCTCCTACCCCTCCCACCTTGGACATGACTGAGCCTGAAGCAGAACCAGAACCTGAGAAAGACAAATCCAGCTTTTGGGGCGACACGACCTCTTCCAAGTCAAAGTCCAAGGACAAGGATAAAGACAAGGAAAAGGAGAAGTCCAAAAAAGAACCTAAGCTGAGCGAGAAGGAGCTCAAAAAGCTCGAGAAGGAGAAGAAGAAGGCAGAGAAAGAAGAAGCTGCGCGCAAGGCTAAAGAAGAGGAAGAGGCTGCAGCCGCTGCGGCCGAAGAAGCAGCCAAGGAAGAGGAGGAGCGTCTTGCTCGAGAAGCGGAAGAGGCCGCCGCCGCCGCCGACGTCGAGGCTGCCGAGAAGGCTCGCCTCGAGGAGGAACAAGCCGCCAAAATCGCCGAGGAAGACGAGCAGTTCGCTGCCTTGGAGGCCAAGAAGCTCAAGAAGGGCAAATTGACAAAGAAAGACCAAGCCATCTACGACGAGTTGAAGGAGTCTATCGATCAGCGCGCCGCAGATCAAACTACTGCAGATGTGGAAGCTACCACGGCCGCTGAAGCAGCAGAGGCCGCTCGCATTGAGGAAGAGGAGCGTCTCGCCAAGGAAGCCGAAGAGCAAGCGGCGAAGGAGGCTGAGGAACAGGCGGCGCGTGAACAAGAAGAGGCCGAGGCCGCGGAGAAGAAGTCGAAGAAGACTTCCAAGGCAGAGAAGGAGTCCAAGTCCAAGTCCAAGTCCAAGGAGAAAGAAAAGGAGAAGGAGAAGAAAGACAAGAAGGACAAGAAGGACAAGAAGAGCAAGGATAAAGACAAGGACGAGGACCCCGAACCGGCTCCGGAGATCGGCAACGACGATGACCTGGGCGACATTGAACTTACTGAAGAGCAAGTAGCGGAGCTCCTGGCCGACCCCGAGCCCGCAGAGCCAGACCCACCCCCACCTCCCCCCGCGCCGGAACCCAAGCCGTCCAACAACGCCTTCAGCTTCTGGGGCGTGAACACCAAGAAGTCTAAGAAAGGTATGCGGCCTCAGGCATGGCCTCCAGTTTCCCTGACCACCACTGCACCTACCAGAGTTTCACCGGGATCATTGAAATGAGACGTCTCGTCACATCGAATGTCTATCAAGATTACAGCTGACTTGTCTTTGTTCTAGCTCAAGAAGGTGCGGATCTCGGCTGGAATGATACGACTACCTCATCCGCCACAAACAACGATGCCCCGACCTGGATGCAACCATCTACGGCTCGTAAGGCCAAAGGAACGAAGATTGCTGACAAGTTAAAAGCATTTGAACCAACGCCGCCTCCAGAAGACGAACCGACCCCTGTTGTTGAGGAACCTGCCCCTGAGGAAGCGCCACCAGAGGATCCGGCCCCAGAGGAGGAACCTGTTCCCGAGGATCCCATTCCGCCGCCTCCAGATCCACCGAAAGCCTTGACAAAGGAAGAGAGGAAGCGACTCAAAAAGGAGAAGAAGCGTGCTGAAGCCGAGTTTGCACCGCCGCCGCCGCCGCCGCCACCACCACCTCCTGTTGAAGACCCACCGTTAGTTGATCTTGAGGAGCCAGCTGACGAGAACAAGTCATCAGAACCCCCGGGAGCTTTCCCGGCCGATGAAGATGAGAACGAAATCATCGAAGTGATCGAGATGCCAGTGGAGAAGAAGAAGAAGAAGAGCAAGAAGAACAGAGAAAGGGATCTTCTTGCCGAAGACGTCCCTCCCCCGCCAGCTCCACCACCGCCCCCTGCCGTACCTGAGGCCCCAGAGCCAGGAGAACCCGATGCCGAGGAAGAGGTGTTGACACCTCCCCCTGAGGTGAAATTGAACAAAAAGGACCGGGCCAAGATCAGCCGCGAAGGTTCATCGTGGGGCATGTGGTCGGCCTCGGCACCTCGCGACAAGGACAGGGAGCGAGACCGCGACCGCCGTGACCGTGACCGTGACCGGGAGAGAAGTTCCAAGCATAAGTCTGAAAGACGTGAGAGGAAACAGGCAGCTGGTGAGAAAAAGGAGGGCAAAAGCTCGTCCAAGGGTTCGAGCTCCGGAAAGGGCGATCGTGCCGAGAAAGAAATGGAGACGTCGGCGCCAACGCGCCCAAAGCTCATGTCCGTGTTCAGCACCCCTCCAATTTCACGCACCGCTTCAACCCGGGATCGGCGTCACGGATCTAGTGGCCGGCCGTCACGTCGTCACTCTGTCGACGTTACCGGCTTGGTATCACCGCCTCCTGAAGATGCGCCTCCAGTATCTTCCAAAGCCGCCAAAGTCCTGGGCGTCGACAAGTCAAGCAGACGCCGCAGGCGTGCTCCTGCAGAGGATGATGACATCGTAATGGTCGGGGCAAATGGTGATGGAGAGGATGCCAACCCCCCAAAGTCCTCTCGCCGGCGATCCAGACAACCCAAAGACGACGACATTGTTATGGTGGACGCAGACGTCCCTTCCGAGCCACCGCCCATGAAACGGTCCAGCTCGAGCGCCAAGAAAGGGCTTGGTGGACTGTTTAGCGGTCTCCGAACCCCCAAGACAGAACGCCCAGACCCGTTGCGAAGACGCCACACATACGCGACTGACGATGAAACTAGACGCGAGCGCCGAAAGGGTTCTTCTGGTGATGCCGAAGAGGCAGATCTGGCGGCAATGACTGACATGGACCAGGAGGCCCGCCGTGCTGCTCGTCGTGCCCGCCGTGCTGCAAGGGATGCCGAGGTCGAGGTCGTGGACCCGTATGGCGATGAGGCACGTCGTGCCGCCAAGGAAGAAGCTAGGCGTGAACGTCGCCGCCGGAGGGAAGAAGAAGACGCTCAGGCGCGAAAGCAAGAGGAAAAGGAGGCGAGGCGCGCAGAACGACGCGCCGCCCGCCAACGTGAGGAAGAAGAGCGAAGGGCAGCCGACGACCGAGAGGCTGAGCGAGCCGAGCGGCGGCGACGCCGCAAGGAACGTGAGGCCGCTGCTGCCGCCGCCGCCGAAGCAGATATGGAGGCTAGACGAGCGGCACGTGAAGAACGCCGTCGAGCCCGTGCTGCTGAAGCAGAAGACGAAGAGGCCCGGAGGGTCAGGCGAGAGGCTCGGCGCGCCGCTCGTGCGGCCGGTGAAGCAACGGACGCAGAAGAATTTCGCCATCGCAGCAGCCGAAAACGGTCCACCTATACATCGGGTGACGAAGCCATGCATTCATCGCGCCACCGCTACCGGCGCGACGAGGAGGTAAGGCCGGCATGGCCCCATTCCGGCACCTCATCGTGGGTTAAGGAGCACTCCGATGCGGGTCCGCCCCCGGAGGACGGCGGACAGACAGACGCGGTGCCGCAGACGGAGGACGAAGCGCGGCGCGAGCGGCGCGAGCGTCGGCGCAGGGCCAAGTACGAATACGGCACGGCAGACGAGGCGGACGATCGCCGCCGCAGGGCTCGCCGTGAGGAGCGCGAGCGCAGATACGGGGGCGGCAGCGGGGGGGTCGGCGCCGGCGGTTCGGAGGGCAGCGACGAGCGGCGCCGGCAGGCCATGTTTTCCGACGCGACGGCGACACCGCGGGGGAGCTGGTGGAGGAAGCTGACTGGCTAATGTTTTGCTGCGCTACGATGTGTACGAATGGAACCACCAGCCAGCGAGCGCCGGAATATTTCTGGAGGATGGATTTACTGTTTTGCTTCTTGTTTGGGACGCCGCGAGAAGACATAGCGACCCGCTCACGATATAACTGGCGTATATATACCCACCATACAACCGGAATTCGACTTGTCATTTCTGTTAAATACATGAACATCTTGTTCCAACACACGTGTATACACCCTCCTTCGCCAGTTTCGGGCCTTGAATAACACATAGATACGATGATGCGCAGACATGCACGCACTTTGGGGAGGTTGCTCCTTTCCATGTCAAAGCAGACAATGTCGAGTCGCAAAGCCAAATACTTGTCATTTGTACATCAATGAAGTGGAAAGAAGAAGAAAAAGAATAAAAAAAACCACAGGTCGGTGAGCAGCTGGTGGGAAGTGGAACCTGTATCTGATGCACCTCGGACCGAAGCAATCGTGGTACCGATTCCCGCTCCTGTCCCTAGCCACTAATTATGATTAGGACGATGCGCGTTGAGATGAACGAAACTAAGCATTATATATGGTACTACACTGCCGAAGTAGGCATGATTTGGATATATGGCAACGCCGCCCAATGGCGGGGTATGTGTCCTCCTCCCCCATGACGCCTCGTCTTAGTGAGTGGAGGCAATGCTTCTCAACAGACCCTGAATCGAGTAAACGAGATGGGAAAATAATAACCGATTGACGCTTTATCGCAGACCGGTCAGCTTGAGCAGATCGTGCTGGTGGAAATAAGCGCGGACGCGCTTGCCATAAATGTCTGAATGACGCGTCAGTCCTACCATACCTAGTCACATACGATCGGGCGCGAAACTTACACATCGGAATGCTCGAAGCGCAGATTACCACCTGAACACTTGCGATGGCCATCATGGTGGGCTTGATTCCACCCGCAATGATCCAATCGTACGCGCTGTACGTCAACCCGAAGCTAAAGATGTTCTTGAAGATAATCATGATGGTGAAGCCCTCGATGGCGATTTCGCGGTACGCGTCGACAATGTACAGGGAGCTGGCTACTGCGCCAATGACCATACCGGCGACCTCGAAACCGAAAAAGATGAGCGGGACGCTGTAGTGGTACTGCTGGCTGGCGAGACCGGCAGAAGTGATGGCGAAGCCGTACAGGCCTATGCCGCCGACAATAAACATGGGAAGCACCATGACGATCCGGAACTCTGGCTCGTAGATGCCGCCGTTGCGGCGAGTCATGAAGTTGGCACTCCAGTCGGAGAAGACGCCAGCGATGACGAACCCAACGAGGGCTCCTACGAAAGCGCCCACGTAGGCGTACCCGGCGTTGACCTCGTTCCAAAAGTAAGGTGGTCCCAGGAAGATGGCGGCAACAATGACACCAATGAAGACAGTCCAACCAATCATGGCGCCCTGAATCAAACACCCCCATAGGAAGGCGGGCTGAACAAACAGCGGAAACGGGCGCAGAAGAAGCTTCCAGTAGCTCTCATCCGTCTTGCGGCCGTCGAACAAGGCAAGCGACTGTACATATGTCTTTTTGGGAGTGTGAGCTCCTCGGCTAGCTTCCAGCCCGGGTGTGTTTGTCGATGAGCCGGCGGTCAACTTCTCGCGGTCGTCGCTAGGCGGGTTGCTTGAACCGTCCCCGAAGAAGCCGCCGGGCTTGCTGGCAAGTTCGATGGACTCGGCACCAATATCGGTGTTGAGCGCGGCGTCCCGGCGGTAGGCAGTCTCCGGGCACAAGAAGAATACGGCGGGAAGCATAATGGCGCAGAAGATGGCCTCGAGGTAGAAAGTCCACCACCAGCCGATAGTGTGGGTGATTTTGCCGACGACGATAGGGGTGAAGAAGGCGCCGCCAAACACAGCCAGGTTCGTGAAGGCCATGCGCGAGCCGCGCTGGTGGACAAAGTATAAATCACCGACGGCAGCGTTGACGAGGCTCTCAAAGGGCGTGCAGCCGATGCCCTGAACGAGCCGGGCGCCCAAAAGCGAGTTGTAGCTCGTTCCGACGGCGCCGGCCCAGGCGGAGGAAGCGATGAGGATGCATGTTCCCAAGATAAAGAGGTGGCGCTTACCCCAGACACGCGCAGAAGGGACAAAGAAGATGGCGGCAGCGCCAGCACCAAGGAGAAAGTATCCTGTCAGGAGAGCGACGTGGGTGAAGTTGCTGCGGAAGAGCAGAGTGATGGTGACGGTGTTGGCGGCGAGGATGGGCCCTAGGGCGGTCGCAAAGATGGCTGTGAGGGAAAGGATGAGGGTGATGAGGTCTCGCTTCCACAAGGGCCAGTTGAGGGGATCATTCGGGTCGTCGGAGGGTTGGGGAATCTAGTAAGGAGACGCTGTCAGCCATGCGTGGACGGGTCGCGACGGGGGCGCTGTCGGCTCACGAGTATGATGGGCACGTCGCCGCTCGAATCGACTTTCAATCCGTGGTGGGCATCGGTCGCGGTCTGTGGAAGGCTGGGATCGTCGAAGTAGCGCGTCGTCCCTGGAGTTTTGACATTGGGCGTGAGCAATGAGATGACAGTAGGCCAATGCGGGCAGCAGGAGAGTTGAGCGCGCATGCATGGGACGACTTACCTGGCACATTGTTCAAGGTCTTGGACTCGAGCACACCGAGACCCATGGCTACAGGTGGTCGGTTTTGTAGAGACGATGGTATGTTAGCAGTCAGTGTGACAGGCGAGGAATCATGACGATGAGACGGAAAAGAGGTAGACGGCCGTCACAATGCATTGTCATCGAGAAGAAAGACCTGGGGAGGGAAGAGAGCAAGAGGAGCAGGGAGGGAGAAAGGACCCGGAGCGTCGGATTAGCCTTTTTTTCCCCTACACTACCAGGTAGGACCGACCCAAACCAAAGTCGGCCATAGTGGAGCTGACGGGTCCGTTCGTGCAGTACAAATACTTGTACAACAGTCTAATCGAATCTGTGCCGCCTGCAAGCAGTTATTCGAGAACGAGGTTCGTATTTACCATACTGGTAGGCAAGCAATCAGCTTTTATCAATCGACTATAATTTTTCTATATAGTTCATTGATTTCGTCGCTCTTTTCGTGGTTGGAGCCATAGGGTGAAAATGCAGGCAGTAGGGCAATGTTTTCAAAAGCACGTCGCTGTAGGTACGAGGTAAGTAGGTACCCAGGTACGGTACGGTACGGGGGTACAGTCAGAACTTTAGAACCGTGAGACGGTACTTAGGTAGGGTCCACTCCAGTGTACCTGGGTATATTTACTTGGACCGCTAGGGGTTATTGGCATGTGGGGTCGCCCATCAATGTTATTATCATGAATTGTGTGGCTCATTAAACCTTAAAAGGCGATAAAGAAAAGAAAAGAAAAAAATACGAGCATCCCAACCGGCCGGCCAACTGAGATTTCCCAGGAAAGCCTATCTTGGCCGGGTCCTCCAACCTACCTCTTTGGAAACCATGCCTCAAACCGCCCGGGGCCCCAGCGAACTCAAGAAGACGGGCGGGCGCTAACCACATCCATCCTGTTCAGGCAAAAGCAGCGATAAAGAGGCAAATGTTTGGTTTTCTACATTGTATGGGGGCCACCAACCATCTCCATCATGTTGGCCGGAGCTTCCCGTTTTTCTCTACCTCGTCCGTAGGCCCCAAACTCAATGTCTGAGCACACCTACTCGGATACTGACGATGACAAAATAGTAACGGAGGTGACGAACTCTCTACAATCTCAAACGAACCTTGGGACACATTCTGTCATGCGGGCCTTCTTCCGCCCTCATTGCTGTCTGTTAAGCCTGGGGGCGCATATTTCGTACATATCTCCATCTTGTACGGTATAGCGCTATAGAAACGCCTACGCCAAAAAAAAAAAAGGAATAAAAAGAATACTTGGTAAACAGTGATGCTATTTTTGTTGCGACAAAAGTGACGTCGTTATCATCGACTCGAGATTTTGATGTTTATTCATTATATGTGAGATTTTTTCGTCTTGTCAGCCATGCACCCCCGGGGGGGTGTACGAAAGGAGGGCGCTTAGATTTATCTCGTTTCTGTACATCGTCTATTCCTGACGCATAGCTGCCGGACTCGAGTTCGCCGAGTCCGCACAGTCTCGGGTGTGCCCAGGGTAAGCGAGGTAGCTCGTGAGCTTTACTAATGCTTTTCAAATTCAATGAGGCCACTCTGAGTTTGGCTATTACCGAACTCGGTGGTAGGTAGTCCCTTAAGGTTAGGTAGGCAGGCGGATAGATATCTACTGTAGATTCAACTCTGTACTGATAATAAAATACTATCGACCAAGAGGGACTGCTGTGTCCAAAGAGGTGTTGCAGCAAGACTTGTACTTCCTGTCTAATAGACGATCCGGTACGCCCATGTCAACAGCGGGGCATCTTGTTTGCATCTTGACCTTCAATCCACCAGGTTCCAAAAGATTTCCATCTCAAATATCAAGCTATACAGACTGCAAGAGGCTCTTAAACACACTTTGACCAGAAACTATGGGCTGTAAGTCAACCTTATTTAAAATCTTTCGAGCGCCTATAAATCCAAACATGACAGTTCTCCGGTATGAGTTGATTTGTACGGAGTACAGGGAGTGCAGATTCATCGCTTGCCTCGAAAAGCTCCTTCGATTTTTAAGCGACGTGATTCTACATGCTGAATGAACAACAGCTGGGCAAAAAAAGACGCGGCTGCGGTCAATAACCTACATTGTACACGGTGAGTTGACCGGCCACCGTGTGGGTTTTTTTTTTCTTTTCTTTTTCTTGTTAAACATCGCAACTGCGTCTGTCATACCAAACCCATTCAAGAAGGGCGGCGAACACGGCCCATAAAAAAAGTGACAGAAATTCAAGCATGCGGGACCCGATCCAGCATCTTTCGGCCTTGCGTATCGACTTTGTGGAATCCACTAGCAGGCGGAGCGGAAATAACATGGGGTACCCGTGTTGTTACCCGATTTGGCAATCCGCAAGCGCGTGGAAAGACGAGTAGGAAGGACATAAAACGACACTGACCTGCATCAAAGACAGCAGCAGTTCTTCCAATTCAGCCCGCACCCAAGTATTTGACACCAAGGCGTAACCAAAGTTTCATTGTCAAAGAAACCAAGGACGCGGTTGGATAAGTCGGTTCTTCTGCCCTCCCGTCGTCTTTGGGAGCGGAGGAAGCGGTCGATATCTTCCTGGCCGTCTACGAAATTCCATAAGGCTGGGTAGGTGCGTTGAATTTTTTCCCGCTCGCGCCTCCTCTGCCTCACGAAGATACATCTCTTCTTATTTGGATCTCCCCACGTGGTGCAGTTTGTATGGAAAACGCCTTTGTTCAAGCCTTGCATTTTGGAACCATGCTGCTTTGGTGAGCTTTGTTCGCCCTTTTTTGACTAGAGTTTGGGGTCAAGTATTTCATATGCAGCAGCGCTGGCTGAAGACTGGTTTCTGAGTTATGAGAAACTACTGCCTAGCAGGACGTCAATCAAGGTCGCGAACCCGTCGAAGCGAATGGCCTCTTTAGGCCTTGGGACCTAGATGGAACCTCCAGGCAATACCAACTAGGAGACACTATACACACAATGCTAATAGAGGGACAGACTAGTCGACTTGCCGTACACGGTTGGCCGTTATAGTCCTCGTAAAGACTAGGTTTGGTGGCTACAAAAAATTTCTAAAACAAAGGGTCGGGTAATAATAGGTGCCGCACAAGACGCCGCGGACGGAACTCCTGCCGTACAGAAAGTTTGAATCCTGCGCCTTTGGTAACTTTCAGAGACCCATAATGAAGCCGGCAATTCCAGATGTGTACTGGGCCGACTGATATCCGACTATGCCTGCCACGAGAGCGCGTCTTTACGGATTTGGCAACCCGATTGGCGGCATCTTGCGTGTCTAACCCGCAAACGTTTTAGGTCGTCGTGACGACAGGCTTAAAAGGATCATAAGTTGCAAAAACCGTCGCCGTTTAACTACGTAAACCGCTCAAAAAACGATGTTGGCTGCAATTTCGTCTGGAAACCACAGGAGCTGGTTAAATACAGAGAGCATGGCTCGATGTGAACACAGCGATGAAAATTGGCAGCGTTTCAGGCAATGCGTAATAGGTACGGTACGATACGGTACGGACATGCCAAAATGCAACGCGAACTAACCAGAATATCACAGGCCCATCTCCAAGATCAAAAGAATGAGTGGTCTCCGAGCCCGAGGTGTCCCCCGCTGAAAAAGAAATCCATTGTCTCTAGCGACAGAGCGCCGTCAAACTCAGGGGCCAGTGTGTCTCCCGTAAAAGAGGAGGGAATTTGACCGTGCTGCTGACCTGGCGTGTCCTGTTGCGGTTGCTGTGTCGTCTGAGACCAGGTGGGAGCCGTTACCATGCCCGGTGGTTGTAGTCCACCCACCCCATGGTGATCCACGGCAACGGCGGGACCTGGCGCGGCTCCATCGGCTGACGAGCGGGCCTCGATTCGTAAAGAGACCTTCTTCAGAGCCCGTTCGAGCCCAAATTGTATCGCCGACGGCGCGCTGTTCCCCGCTACGCCATTGTGCTTCTGTGCGGCGCGGAGCAGCGCCAACACCTCGTCGTCCGCATCGGACGGCAAGCCCCCGGCCGCCAGCGCTGCCGGCTTCTGCTCGTGCTTTGAGATGATCAGCATCGCGTACGCCACGCACAGCCGATGGAACTCGGGCAACTCCTCGGCGCGGGGGGCCGGCATGTCGACGAACGCCCGGACGACATCCGTCGCGAAGGTGCTGACGCGGGATTGCGCCATGTCGGGGGGTCCTTGGGACCCTGGCTGATCGTGAGCCCCATCCTTCGCCGCAGCGTCAACCGGGTGAAGTCTCGGCGAGCTCGACAAGGAGTCTTGGTCTGGCGCGGCCTGGTCGTGTTCGAGCGAGCGCCGGGCGAGGATCAGCCACGCGATGGAGTAGCTTATTCTCAGCGTCGATGAGGCAGAAAGTTCTGTCCATCAAACGCGTCAGTTTTGTACATTTATTTTCCTTTCTTCGCCGCCAAGTCATCCAAATCATGTCCACAAAGTCGCTTACGGAGCCACATTGTATTCATACTCATCCAGAGTGGCCGTTTCATACTCTGAACTCACCAAACAAGGAGTTCCACCTGGTCCTCCACGCGGAAAGCTCCGCGCATGTGCCGTCACTGCCCAGGTATAGCCTCTGCGAGAACTTGTCCTGCAGTACCAGGTAGAGCATTATTTCGGCATATACCATGGCGTCCCTCATCGTCACCTCCTCAAAGTCGAGCAGGAGTTTGCACTGCCGGAGATATGCAGCCGGGACAGTCGCCGGTCGGCCAGTTGTCGCCGCCCAGCTGGAAGGTGGCTCGACGTCAGCATCATGTCTTCGGAAGTTGCTCGTAAATTGTGTGCGATGATTCCACGCATTAAAGTCCACTTCTGCGCTTTCTTTTTCCTCATTCCTAAAGGGGGTACTGTTCGAGTGAAGTTTGGGGACAGGGACTTACTGCAGATTTACCAAGCAGGTGTTGGCCCAAAGCCTCATAACCCTCTGGTCTCCCTCCGTCGACGTCCCAGACTTTGTCCTCGATAGTATTTCCGAGAAATTGATGCTCAACATCGCTTGCTGTGCGCAGTGTCCGCTTACCAACCAACTATCGATATATTCGGGTCCCTGATATCATCGTATTATTAGCACCGTCTGCACTTATAATGCCAATGTTCCCATTTCCCCCGCGTTGCAACTCAAGATTGTCTCTGTACCGGGCTAAGTGCACCCACGTACCGATGGCGCTGAAGCCCACAGGCTCATGATCAGAATCCCCATCAACTCCTCCAGGGGCAACGGGCTCGCGATCATCAGCTGGCCCATCTGCAGCCGAACGTGTTCAAAAATGCGGCGGTGCAGCACCGACGAGCTGTGCTCCGAGAACCGCATTGCGTGCAGGCAGCAGACGTCGTGCAGAAAGGGTGACGCATGCCGGAGGTCCATGTTTCTGGGGGTGAGGTCGACCTCGCTGTTGATGAGAAGAGTGTGCCTTCGTCGGCGTACAAATCTGCATAGTGCTTAGTTTATGGGAGAACTGTCTCCTGCAGCCCGTCCGAAGCACAGAGAAGGAGGCGTCTTTCCTCGCATTCATATTCTCCACCCTTCCTTCTCACGTATATATATATGTGTGTGTGTGTGTGTTATGTGTGTGTATGTGTGTGACTTTGGGAGCATAGGAAGTCAGCCAGGGACAGAACTCACTCGGCAAGTAGATCTCGGGCTGTTTTTTCATCCAAAATGCCCTGCGATACGACATCAGCCTGAACGTCGAATGTCCTTCGATGCCCCCCGCTCAGCTGTCTCCCAACTTTCCGTATGACTTCCGCCGGGGACAGATAGACGTCCCGATCCGCCGGCTCCACATCTTCGTCACTCGATGCCTTGGCAGCATCGACGTCTCCGTTACCGTTCTTGTCAACAGATGTATGATTCGGCTGCGTCCGCAGTTGCTGTTGCTGTCCCTGATGGCCAGTCGCCAGAGTCTGCCCCGAGTCTGGCCGACTCCCAGAGGCGAGCGCCTGCACCGTCGCCTTGAGTTCAACAATCGAGGCCTCTAGACTTCGATACCTATGAACGAAGAATATTGAGCATATGTACTATGTGCAGCTGCCGGCTTCAAGGAGTGTATGTCGGAGGGAACGGAAACAAATCCAGTTTACCTTCCTTCGATATCAGGCTTAATTGGTGCTTCACGGGAAGAAACCGAGTGCGTATCGCCGCTGTCGTTCCACGTGCAATTAATCCTGTCATAATCAGCATTCTGCCGCTATTTTTTACCTCTACTGCCTGATCCGGCTCGTTTGCATTGTTTGTCCTCCGAGTGACTGCCGCAACCGATGTCCACTGGCCAACCGACGTACCTCAGCGAGCGGCACCGCGCACAAACATCCGACTCCTCGTCAAGCTCGCATCGGCACTTCTGCCTGCGGCACGTATCACATGAGAGAATGCGCCTCTTCCTTTTCCGGCCCGAGTCCTCTCTCCCCGCCTCATCCCGTCGGCTTCCGTCGCTCAGCCTGCGGCGGCGAAAGCCAGGCGAGTTCTCCTCATTCTGCATCTCCCCCTCTCGAAGGCCCTCCGAGACTGCTGGCTCACGAAACGGTTTGCGGGAAGCTGTGTGACAAACGAGTTCGACGGGTGTAGATAGGTGTCTCGTGGAGGATTGTGGTGGTTGGCTTGTAGTGGTCTCGGGCGAAACAGGAGATACACGGATATCTCAGCGAGCCTATCGATTGGCTGAGAGAACCCCGCAACCTCATATCATATTGCGTGCGGGTGGGGAAGGAGTTAACCGGAAATCGACGGACTGCCGCCAGAAAGCGTTCTAGGAAGGAATGCATGTAGGAACCCGAGAAAACGTGGTTCTGTTGGTAGTTTAAGCTTCTGGGAAACTCTATATATTTATATGCATCCGAAAGACGACATATCAACATCCGTACCAGATCACATTCCGCTTGAGTCCAGAAATCGCTACCATGACAGAAACGCAAATTAGCAAGAAGCGGATCTTCTTGAATAGCTACGACGGCCCGACGTACAGGTTAGTATCCGCGAACCCGCCGCGCGATTGCACGCCTGATGAGATCCCTATCATCGATCTGGAAGGGATGAATGGGGACCTTGATGCTCGCAAGAGCGTCGCTCGTGCCATCTTACATGCGGCGGAAACGAGCGGGTTCTTCTACATAAAGAACCACGGCATTCCGGAGCACGTCACAGACGCCGCTCATAAGAAGGGCATAGAGTAGGTCTCACCAGTAGCCAGGAACCGGGCCCGCGTTGTTGCGCCGAGACCCCCCCTCCGGCGTTCCGAGGATCGTCAAGCTCACTGGATGACGACAGGTTCTTCAAACTGCCAGAGGAGCAAAAGCGAAGGCTGGAGTCAAGTACCTCGGCCTACGGGTATTGTGGCTTCCGGGAACGGCAGGCCAACCCGGCCGAGACCAAGGACAGGAAAGAGGCCTTCATGTGCCACTACGAGCCCGAGTTTGACCCCCTTCACGAGGGCGTCCTCGATCAAGTGCCCGCACACGTCAGGCAGCATCTCCCCAAGGAAGACTTTGACTGGGTCGACGAGGGGAGCTCTGCTGTGCTCCCGGGGTTCAAGTCATCAGTGCTAGCCCACTGGCGTGCGTGCCTGGCGCTTTCGCGCCGTCTGATACGCATCGTCGCCCTGGCCCTCGAACTCCCCGAGGACCACTTCGATCCCTTGACAACTTACCCCGGCGGCGATTTCGCGATAAACTTTTACCCGGGCCACGGCGACCAGCCGGTCCAAGACCCGGACGAGGTCGGGGTCGGCGCGCATACGGACCTGCAAATCCTGACCCTTCTGTGGCAGGACGGGCATAGGGGCCTGCAGGTGCTCAATCGGGCGGGGGAATGGGTGTGGGCGCCGCCCATCAGCGGCACGTTTGTCGTCAACATTGGCGACTTTTTCATGCGAATGACCAACGACAGGCTCAGCTCCACAGTCCATCGGGTGATCCAGCATGGCAGAGAAGATAGGATCTCGATGCCCTTCTTCTTCGGTATGGGCCCTCTTTTTCAACGTCCCGGGGACGAGGCCCAGACCTCGCTCGCCGTTTTTATTTCGTCTATTCCGCGGGGATGTTTTTCTTCTTTTGGCTGACCCGACCATCTTATCTCGCACAGGGTTCAATTTTGACCAGAAACTTGGCGTTCTGCCAACTTGCATTGACGAGAATACCCCAGCCAAGTACAAACCTGTCACATGCGGTGAGGTTAGTGTGTGAATCTTATTTTCCTCAAGGCGATCACCGGAGCGGCAGGGATTTTCTGACGTGGAATGGACAGCTTATTGCGAAGCGCCTAGCCCTGGCGGAAACCACTGTCTAGTGAGACTGCTTGGGCATTTGCCTCGTGGATTTGGGCCCGCAGGAGCACGCGCTGGACAATCCGAACCAGGCCATCTCGATTGTAGTGGGCTGGTTGCTCTCGAAAGCAAAGGAATGTCATACCGGTATGTGGAAGAAGGCAATCAACCGACCGACTGTAGCAAAGTCCACTTTTCGGGTTTCTCGGGTCGACGCGCTTACTATTCATTGGTGAATGGAATGTCAGCTGGATCCCGATTGTCGCGGCATTTGCTATGTACTCTATACTAGGTGGACGGAGGTGGACGGAGGTGGACAAGAGCCCCACCCAAACGCTCGGCCCTCTCCCGAGAGGGAGAGATCGTTCAATGTCAGCGATTACTATACATATAATCACTAATCAGGAGCCCTCGATAACTGTGGATTGTAACTCTACTCCTACAGGCATGGCCCTTCAACTACAAATCGAGGCGACGTGATGTGATGCCTCTCACACGACAGTGTGCCGGCGCCACGAAAAGGGGAGGTTGGGTTTAGTACAGAAGCCACCAAGCCCGTTGATTCATCTCCGATCCGGAAACGACCCCCGGGGAGGGAGTTTTCGGGTGTCCCAAATGCCCATCGCCGAAACACTGTACATGTTGTGTCCCTCGGTAGGCTGGGACTAGGGCAAGCGCGTGTACCCACACGTGTGCTGCAGAACTGGAGTGCGATGGACCGAGAAGAATACCAGAAACGGATGATGGCGTTATCAGAGGTTGTCGAAACCGTCAAAAGTGCAGACACTCTTATTGGGTGAGTTTCTCCATGGCTCTTGCAGATGACTCGGCACCTCGGGTATTCAACTGACGCACATAACATTATCCATGCGACGGAGAGAGGTCCAGCCGAGTCGAAGCGCAATATCGGATGAACAATCGTCTTCTGGGAATTTTGGAAGGTGTCGCGACCCCCTCCAGGAGCGATTTGCGGCATCCCTGGCGCGGCCTGAACGTTAGCTGAGAGCTTCTATCGTACGATATTCAGAGTCTAGCGATGTGAAGCCATTGTAGGCCGAGAGCGTCGGGTTTCATCGAGTTATTTAAAGCGCTCATCATTGCGGCTACTTATTGAGGATTAACGTTCGGTTGATTCAATGACGGCGGCGTCTCGAGACCCTTTGACATGCCATTCCCATTCCGTCAATAAGCGCTCACTCAGGCCGAGCGTCGGGTAACGCGAACGGTGCATGGCTGGTGGGTACGAATCAGGCGGCCCACCATTCGGGATGAAGAGAAGGGGTGCCGCCCGTGTACTTGATGGCTCAAGGGATTTCTTACCGATTGACGTGTTTTCCGCCAACGGTTTGTGGCACGGTCGGCGACAATCCCGATTTCAACGAGAGCTTTTTTGCGATGCAATGAGCTACCATATCCTGGGTTCGTGGACCAGGGTCAAGGTCATCTCACGAATACATCCTGATTGAGTAGCTGGAGGGGCTGGCTGGAGGGAGGGCTTCGTTATTAGGTAGTATATCCGTACATAGTAAGAAGGTAAAATTACCATCAAGTCAAACGCAGGGAGTGGCCTTGGCCACTCCTAGGTCTTGAGCTACTGAGCTACCAGAGAGGGTCGGGGATGCACCGACTATCCGGGACCTAACATGGACCAGTCGGAAGGCGTGGTCTTGCAGGGTGGGAAAAGGAAAAACCAAAACAAAAGAAACTAATTCCCGATCAAGACATGGCATTTGTCGCGTGTTCATTGTCCGAGGTGGCGCCTGCAACCAACGTCAGAAGAAAGAGGGAGTACATGCCGACCCCAACCAGTTGACTAGGGATCTGTATCTGTACATACATATATATACCAAACGTGTTTCATCTGCGGTCAACACGTCGCTGTATTGTAGAAGCTGAGCGATTTTTAACGAGAATGCCACAGACGATCTGTAGAGGGGTTGTGTACCTGTGTGACCTTGCGAGGAACCGCCTTGTGACAGTGCCTCGGTATCTGTAGAGGGGGGCGACGACACTGGGCTAAGCCCCCGCTGTGGCACTCACTGTATGACCCAATACCGAGCTCCAGTTGTGGAGGCTCGCCGGCTCCGATACCCGAGCTGAAGACATTGTGCGTCTACATTGGAGGTACCTAGGTGATAGGTAATCGGCCATAGCATGCACCATCGGCAGAAGTTTAGCCCCAGAGTCTCTTTGGGGCCACAACGTTGGCGAGAGCTCCCAGCAAGCAAGACAAGGAAACTACCCTGTACGTGCGTACGAAGTACATGGCAGGTAGTGGATGTAAGGTAACGATAGGTACTACCTGATATGTCAGCTAGGATCTCCACTGCTAGAAAGTGGGGAGATCTGACTTCTGACAAGCGCCAATCGCCAATCAACTTGGCCCACTACACTACAGACGCCCGAAACCGAGGGTGAACAGACTCGAATGGGCTGGGTTGGGTTGCCTTGCCAAGTTGGCTTTAAGTTAGCTGAGTCGAAGCGAGCTGACCTGGGGGCTATTGACCCTGACAATGGCACGTCGAAACGGCGGATACGCCACGGCCGCATAACATCTGGGCCCGCCGCCTGCCCAATTTCGTTTTATGGAAAGATTAGGCGAATGTCGGCAATTCTGGGAGGAAGACTACTAGCGCTCAAATGCGGCGACCGACCTCTTGCCGACATGACATGACATGAGACAACAAAGCGACGCAGAGTGTTGATGTAGTGTATGGGAGCAAGGGAATCGTACCCTACACTAGAGAGGCACCTAGGTAGGTTGAAGGAAGGATAAACGTAAAGGAACGAAATTCTTCATAGGTAGGCAGTCTAGGTGGGAAGAAAGAGGTAGGTAGTCTAGGTAGGTAGAAAGAATGTGCCGAGATACGGCCCCACATACCTTGAGTCGGCCGGAAAAACAGCGGAACGAAGGGAAAAACGTACCTACTACTGAGCAAGTATACCTAGTCTGGGTTCGAGGGGAAGAGCGCACGGATCGTCTGGCAGGAATACTCTGGTACCTTATCTGCCTCGGTAGTTATTCCCAAACAGAGCCTAACAATAGGATGGGTGATTCGTGTAGGATACGGACAGGCATCTCAACAGGTCTGCATAACAAGTCTAATGCACTCGTCAGGCATTTACCGCGATTCCGCGTTTACATCAGTATCCGGTATGTCGAATCTATTGTGCATGTCGAGCACCTTTCAGACTCTCTGTTTATGTGGGTGGACCATGTATCCCTATCGCTTTGTAGGGAGTTTATGCTAACCCATACCGCAAAACCAACTACGGTCCGGAAGAGTCCCGAACCAGCCTAATAGTCGCAAAAGTAACAACTGCACGGATAGTTGACGCTACATTCTAATTAGATACGCACCAAGAAGGAATGTGATCTGGATCGGTTCTGCACTACATGTAGTCTACAGAGTACATTATACACTAATCCAGACGGGATAGTCGCCACGATTTAGACCCCCCTCCCCCCTGTTCCATTTCCACCAGTCATCATGCCCGGAGGCCCGTTCCGCGCCGGGCAAGGGGTCTGAGCGTCACGTGCTATCGGGAACAAGACAGGTTGAGAAACTCGACCGGCCCGAAAAACCGATCCACAACCCAGCTGTAGTGTACTGTACAGTCCAGGGCCGCTCCGTGTTTGGCGCTCTTGCCTTAGGTATGTATTGTCATGCGGAGCGACTGTAGCCCGCCGTAATCTGCAATACCAACCTCGGCAGTCACCAAGCAGGGTATGCTGCATATCGTGAGTGAGCGAGGACGTGACAAAAGGAACGCTTACCTTGTAAGCACTGCCTGCCTAAGTAGGTAACGCAAGGGGGTTCTGGTGGAAAATGAGACGAATTGAGATACATGGTAAGCCGCACGAGCTCTTACTCCTCCCCAAAGAAGGGCGAGGAGGGTCCTTCGAGGTATGTATGTACATACTAGTACAGCATCTACCTAACCATGTGTCTATCTACTTACTGATACTACATGCATAGTATGTACATGTCTGGGTGCGCCCCACATGATGACGTCGGCGCCCAAGGATACGCGACCGGTGAACTCGACCCAGAGACGCATCGTGCCTCCTGCATTGAGGGCGGCGGCTGAGGCCTCTCTCCCCCCTCTCCTCTCCGGCAACGACTTACACCGTACGGTGTATTCATACTCCTCCTCATCGCCCATCTGCCTTCTCCTCCTTCTCCTATCACATGCCCTTTTCCGCAAAGCTTTCTCAGTACGTACCTTGTGTTCGTACACCACCATTGTGAGTAAGGAGGAGGTAGCTAAATACCTGGTACCTACCTAGGTACCAGGCTACCTCCAGCCCCTCCGGATCTGGCATCACATCAGTTTACTGAGTAGATGCAGAAAAAATGACCTGCCAATGGACCCGACTCGTTCGGCATATTTCCTGCAGGTAGAAAGGAAGAGACAGGGCAGCGCAGACTCGGTGAGCGACCGCCTTGGCTACGTATCTCAATTCCAAAAAGCGCCTAGTCCCTAAGAGACCGACAGAATCACGAGTGATGTCGAGGCCAAGCAGTTGAAGCCAACGTCACGTCTCCCCCATCCCCCTCCCCCGAAAACTCGAGACTGCCATGGTTTGTTTATCAGAACCCTGCAGCAGCCGGCTGAGCCCACGGTGTCGTTTTAGACGGTCAGTTGCTGATCCCTACCTAATCTCCATCCGATCAGGCGTTCCCTGCCCTGTCTTCGCCTTTTGGTGAGATTCAGGGGCCACGCCCAAGATGCCAACAGCCGTCTTGGACCAACAGGAGAGCATCCTCATCTTGCCAACGCCACCATGAGTATCTATAGCATTCATCAGAAAACCACCAGCCTGAATTCTGGAAGCATGGTACACTTTGGTAGTTCGGGCCCAACAAAGGAAGAAGGGGCTGGTAGCAGGGGGGGAGGGGAACCCCTCCCCCCCCACAAGCAGGGGATATCTCCTCAGGCCCTTCACCGTATCCGTATATCCGTAGCCAAGACATGAGCCCCATCTCACTCGCACTTTCTTTCTTTTTTAACTTCAGTATCGTTCAATTTAATTTCATATTGTTGGTCTTGGGGAGTGTCTTCTTCGAGTTCAATGCACTGACGCCAACCTCTCGTGCAGGCTTTGCATCCCGGACCACATCACAACAGAGAGGCATCGTAGTAGCGTCCAACGGAATATGATTGTGGTTGTTTCGCCCAATGTAGCCTGCCAGTATCATGCTCTAGGGAGCTCGACGTTTAGACGAATCCATCTCGCTCGACCCACAGTCAGAATCGCAATCGCAATCGCAAACCACTCCCTACTCCGTATCAACCCCCATAGAAACGACTGAATGGTCGACTAGCCGGCTGTGAAGGACCCGATACGTATCCAGCACACCGCCCGCTGTGAAGCAGCTATACTGTTTTTGTTGCAGAGCACGGCAAGGGATCGACTCCGCGATCAAATGTCTATTGCTCCTCCGGGCTGGTAAGTGAATCATATGCAGAGGACTGCGGCAGGTGATGACAGGCGACCCCGGAGACGATTCACTATGCAGCAAGGCGGTGGGTGACTTGAGGAAATCTGATTGCAACTCCGACTCGGCCAGGCCAGGCCAGACCAGACCAGGCGCGGCAAGCAGAAAACGCTCCGTCTTTTTGTATTCGACTCAAGATAAAAAAGGATACATACAGTCAGCCGCAGCAGCACCCCTACCAACTCGGAAAATGCTGCATACGCACAACACACACCTCTTTGTACCAATACACAACTACACGCACCCACATTCTCTACGCGAATGCAGTGGTGGGGGGGAGGGGCGTCTCCTGGAGCGAATGCCCGGAGTAGGCCTGGGGCCCGTCCAAACATATCCATCCGTATATTCACCACATTATTCTGCTTGATCGGCCGGCGCATACTGATACCTATGCCGAGAGCCCTATCACCTTCGGTCTGGTGTCACAATTTGGACGTGGTGGAGATCATCCAAGGCGAGGGACGCTAGGGTAAGGCGAGGAGGGTAGTGGTGTGGGTATGGGTGTGGGTGTGTCGTGAGGATTCTAGAATCCGAGGCGCGACGCATCGCATCACGTCACAGCCAAATGAGCTGCTAAACGAAGTTGCCAATGCCACTGCTGCCACAACTGTGGCAGTAGGGATGCCGACCCTGCGTTCTTGACTACAGCCTCGTCCCGAACAGTACCTACCCAGGTAGGTAGGTGGTAGGTAAAAGAAAGTACCTAGGTAGGTACTCGGGTCAAGGCGTCTATTGATCGGTGTCTATCGACATACTCGATCCCGGCTACGATGCGCAAGACGTCGTCGAACTGTAGTTTGCCATCCATCATGCATGTAACATCGGTAACTAGACCACCTCATTACTACCGCTTGACAACACGGGTTCACCGCAGCAAAAACTCTTGCACTATTCCGATCGAACCGCGTGAACAACACTGCGTTGACCTGCCTGGTCCTGCTTTGCCTGTCGTCTGAAGCTGCCTTCAACGGGCCAATCAACCTGGTTCGGACGAATCCTCCAAGTCGTCCATTAGAGTTCTTGTTCTTTGTGTTTTATTTGGTTATGTATCTCTTCCCGTCCACCCATCCGCTCGCTCGCTGCTGGTGCGTTTTCTGTTTCTACAAGCATCGCCGGGGAGTCGGAGCTTGCTCCGGCCCCTATAAATCAATTTCCCACCTCTTCGGTGTACATTTTCTTGTTTCCTTCCACGAGTCCAGGGGGAGAAAAATAAAAACAAAAAACAAACACCACACACTGCGCTCGGTCGTCGACGAGTGAGGCCCCAAAACCGACCGGCGATAAAAAAAAAAAATCGACCGCCCCGCCTCCCGGTGTGCTTTCCAAGCCCACTCGCGACATCGTTAGAACACCTCGACCTCTTTCCTGACACAAGCTAGGTATATCACACGCCACGGAATGCGCGCCGGCTAGGGAGGGCCCGTCCCGCACCGTAAATCGCACTTTACGCTCCTGTCTTGCCTGGTAGGGCGGCATCAGGTTCCGCGTTTCCTCCTTTTACTACGTCTCGTGTGGCGCAGAGACTGCTCCATCTTCTACATCGGGCCGCTTCCAGGCAAGAAAACCACAGGCTGGTGGTTCACCTCACTGCGAGGACGCCCGCATGTTTCTCGACCAAACTTCATAACCCTCAACGTCCAGCATCTAACCGCCTTTCTCGCAGCGAAACGCGAATGCCCCTCCGTTCAGTACCACCTGTCAGTCGCTGCCGCTGCTCCAGTCGCTCCTGCCACTAGAGTTTCCTGCGGCCTGGGCCGCCTGGACTATCTCCCCGAGCAGGGTCTGTTGTCCTGGTGTGGACCACACGCATCCTCCTTGTTGTTCCGCCTAGCCTAGCATGCAACCCCTTCATCTCAACATCAACTGCAGAGTCTTGCTGAATGATCCGAATCCTCCCGGCTTCGATCGCTCTTTCGGTTACTTCGCTACTAGGTGAAGTATGAACACCGAACCTTCGTCTGTAGCTTCGAGCTGGGCGGGATCGGCTGTAGGCATGTCAGCCCATCGAAAAGAGCGCGGCCATATCGCACAACGGGTAAGTCTGATTGTGTGTCTTGTCTCTCTTCGAGTGTCGTCGAGGATTTTGTGCGGTAACCCTGCTTTTCGTTCGGTTGCTGTATCCGTTCCGAAGGGTTGGGCGCGATGACAAATTGGCTGTCCAGCCGCTTGTCATAGTCCCCCGTCCTGCCTTGGTTACCTCCTCCCCGACTTTCAAGAGACGCATGGTTCACCGTGGATACAAATCTGATACAACGTCTCGATAGGCTTGCGAGGTCTGCCGCCGCAGGAAGCAGAAGTGTGACGAAGAGAAGCCGACATGCGGATATTGCTCCAAGGCCCAGCTGGAGTGCGATTACGGAAGCCCAAAGCCGACCAAGTAAGTAAACCCCCTCCCTTCCTCTGTCCCTCGCTTGCACATTCGACTCGTCTGTCCCGTCCGTGCCCTTACATCCCACAATGCCTATATAGGAGCGGCACGCGATGGGGCCGAGGGTGCTCCGTCAGCATAACGTTCACTGGCTAATTTGTTGGTGCAGGAAAGACAAGACATTGGTCGAGTTACTTGACCTTGTAACCAACATCAATCAGCATACCAGTCACATCCCAGAAATCTCTGCTCAGCTTCTGAGATTGAGAAAAAACATTCCGACACTTTTGCCTACCGAAAGTAGCGCCGGCAGTGACGTCGCCTCTTCAACAGCCACCGTGCAGCCTTCGACTCAAACGGGCCTGAGTTTGGCGCCACGACACCAAGCTGCGCGCCGTTATGTTTCCACCCTAGACAGAATCTTGTCCTGGCCTGCAGTGCGGCAGACACTCGAAACCGTCCGGCCGAAGATACCCGGCATCCAAGCAATCTTCGAGGGCCCAGAATCGTCATCCGTTCTTTTCGACCAGCGAAGGGATACCCGGTGTCTCTTCCGGGGCGGCTTGGAGTCCATGGGTGCACAAGATCGCATTGCTTTGGGAATAGCTCCCGACGACCCCAGACCGCTTCAGATGACGAGCATAAGCCCTCACATTCTTGCGGATCGCATTAGAATATACTTCAACACCTTTAACCGGATTCACCCTGTCTTAGACCGTCAATACTTCATGGAAGTGGTGTTCCCCGGAGTTCTCCACAACCGTTTCTGCGAGGATGCGGCATCTACCTTGCTGTGTCTGGTGATGGCGCTTGCTGAAGTAGCCGTTGCAGACGTATCAGGCAGAGGGTTTCCGGCTTTTCAAGGCCACCAAGATGGCGAGCCAAGCAATACTGCAGAGTATATCGAATACCGCCCACCGGGCATCGAGTTTTTCAACGAGGCGAGGCGGCGCCTAGGCTTTTGTGTCGGCGAGTGCAGTTTGGAGAACGTACAAATGTTCATTCTGACGGGGTATGTTATTCTCGAGTGTCACATTCTTTGAAACCAGTTCCGGACCTGGTTCCCATCTAGACATATTGCTAATCAGGGTCTGGTCCTATAACAGATTATATTACGAGTCTTGTTCCCGACATATGGTACTTACAAAGAGGACAGGTTTCTGTTGAAGGCTTGACTAACCCAAGTTGGGCAGGAGTTCTGGAATATGATCATATCAGCGTCCCTTTCGTGCCACGCACTGATTGTCAGGTACGAGTCTCCGTCAAGACCAATTGTGAGCCATGGTCTAGTTGACCGGCCATCTTATGGGCTGATGAGCTGATCAGAAGCTGCAGTAACTCGGCCGAAATGTATGCTGCCCACGGTGATCAGATCTGTCGGGCGTTTTGGTATTGCTCCATTGTGGAAACGTACGTGCAAAGCTGTTTCGTTCAACCAGCCCAAACCGCCATTGCCCATCCTAAGCCCTCCCTATATTCCCAACGATGTTCTCCTCCCATCACGTTCTCATTCCTGGCTGAGTGATGTGTTGGCATGGGCGAGTCAAACGCAACTGCTTCAGTCCATGACCCCCACCACTGATTCTGAGATCTCATTAAGACTAACAACTGCTTCTTGAACAGAGGTATCCAACAGGACTTAGAGCTGCCCTTGACAGGCCTCGACAAGCTTCAGTCGCGCATTCAGTTGCCCCAGTTTCCTGACTATGTCACCACGACCGACGAACTTCTTCGTGTGCAGATGTACAACGACAGGATGTCCCATTACGGCGAGATATTTGTTTATGAGGTTTCTCTCCGGAACCTTGCTGTCAAAATTCGCAACGGTCTAATACAAGGTGAGTTTCATGCCCAACCACGTTCAGGCAGTTGCAAAATATCTATTTCTCCTCGCAACCACCTGGGCTAGTTAGTGTAGGACGACTGTTCGTAAGATACCTATGCTTGTCGTCCAGTCGTGCTGTATCGCTTGAAGCCCGGGTTGACGCCTGCGCATCGGGCGGTATCTTACCATGCTTCTTCGCACTGCATGGCGGTTTCGGGTTTTTTCTTTTTCTTTTTTTTCCTTTTTTTCTTCTTTACATTCCACGACTGATGACTCGTAACTCTAGTTGCCGAAGCACCCATGGCAATCCTGGGTCAGACGATGCCTGGATCAGACGATCTTTTACGAGCCACAGTTGATAAATTGGGGAGGGAGCTCGAACAGTGGCATGGTTCTTTGCCGGATCACTTGAACTGGGACAGGAACCTTCCCTCCGCTATGTACTCGGCTCCTGATCTTCAACCCTCCAGCCCATCGTTTTACGCCCATAGCATGTATGCGGCCGATGCCATGGATGCGTTACATTCGGCTCCGCTGAACAATTTCATCGGGCCCGACATCACTAACCCCAATGCGAACATCGGCTTTCCGAACTCGGACGGCGTTCTGCTTGCGATCATGCGCTCAAAATATTACCACGTCGAATCCATGCTCTACGGGCCTTTCGCTTACAAAGTCCTTCACGAACATCCGGACAACCTAACCGAAACAGACCTTTCGGCAACGACGAGGTTCCTCCATGCCTGCGTTCTCTGGCCTATAATGGTTCCGCCAACCTCTCAGCATAAACGCATGATCCCCTGCCTCTATTCCTGGTCGCAGAATATCCTAGGCGCACTCATCATTCTGCACCTGTCTCTCATAAACCCCACGCTCTCCAAGATCAGACAAAGCCATTGCCGCCAGGGGTTCGAACAAGAAGCCGAGTTGACAATCGAGTGGGGGACCGCATGGATTCGAGATCTGAAAGACGTTGATAGAACTGCACAGCGCTGTTGGATGATCCTCAAAGGCTTGTATCGGCTCGATGACTAAGCGGAAAACGGGAAGCATTAGGGGCGCAAACCGAAAAAAGACGGTTGACTTGGCAAGGAAGCATGATTCCAGTTCTGTACCTGTTGGGGGTTTTGCGGTATAGGGATGGTGGGACGAGACCATAGGGGCAGGGTGTTCTCGGGCATTTGGGGCAGCCTCATATTTTTCATATCATATATGGACGACCAAGTAAAACGGTAAGTAATAAATTTCACGAAAGCCGACAATGAAGAGAACGGCAAGATCGTGGACTTGTGTCATGTTCCCGCGTGCTTTCTCCAGCATCAGGCCTTTTCTCTATCAAATATCGTCTTCTACAACCTGGATAACTGCAGAAATCGTTTACATGATGTAGGTACAACTAAAAGTAGTCCTCCTGATCCGGGACTCGATATCTCTGCGGCCAAGTGACGGTGGCCAGAAGCGCGTGAATGGTGGTCTTTCTTGCCATACGGCAGCTTCAGTCCCGGGAGACAAACTCACGAGACAAGCTGTTCGAGGGAAGGTGGCATCGATGCCGCAGGGGATTGGCACAGGAGGTTCAACAACAAAAACAACAACCCCGGCCCAAAGCTACGTCGGCTTCTCCTTCGGTCAATCGACCGGCCATACTTTCGTCAACCCACTACCAGCATCAACAATCTTTATGGACAAAGCTTCCACTATCGTCACTATTAGTACCAATCCCCCCAGCTTGTGAGTTTCAGGCAAGATCAACAAAGTCCAGATTTACTAACTCGCAAACACGGACAGATTTAGGTCTCGTATCGCTCTTTGCACCATCCCCAAACGCCGCAACGATGGCTACCCACCACGACTATCATTCATACAAGCGAGACACAAGATGCCTACTCTATTGGGTGATCCACGCCTCCAACTTCGTCATCAAGACAAACAGGAAGTCGGATCACCGCTGGAAGTCGCCCGTCAGGTTCAACACGTCTGGGACAGTCACTGTCGATGAATTCACAGGAATGACTAGACTCATTGGAGAGGAGATGCGCTCCGTTCCGTCCTTGGTTCTCGGTTTGCTCCGCTCGGTGATTCTGGCAAGAACGGCTCACTGGGATGGATTTCAACAATACACCGAGGGAGACCCTCAAGTCGAGAAGTCCTTCGCATCTGACAGAGTTTTCACGATCGCCCTCTACAAGGCCTTCGAGGCCTTCGAGGCTCTTTGTACAAACAGTCGGTGTGCAGGACAGCAGTCGGGTAATGGGTCCCAAGTAGCCGGTGCCATTGAGGAGATCATTCTCGACAGCAACTTCTCAGTTCGAGATATCAGAAGATTGCACGACACTGGGTCAGAGAGCGGATCAAGTGATGATGTCTTCAAAACTCAGAAGCGGGTTAAAAAAAGAAGCAATGTGGGTAACAAAGGGAAGAAAAAGAAGAAGGCGAAGACGACGGCTCAGGTTTTCCCTGGAGAGGTGACCCTGGCAAAGGTACCACTAAATGACTATCGCTTCCTCAGAACAGACGACGAGCAGATGACTGAGTACGCAATGGCCGTCTGCTCGTATTTCCGGGAGTGTTACAGTCTCCGTGCCTACCTCCAGGGTATATGGCGCGAGGTTGCATATGACGGTCTCAACATTGTTGTTGCCGGCACGTTGGTTCAGCTGGCCATTGGGATGGTAAAAAAAGCCGAGTCGGGTGTCCTCGCAGACTTTCCAGGTCAGCTCTCGTTCGAAAAGCTCGAGAGGGCCATCACGTTAGGGAACGTAGAAAAGGCCCAGGATGAGTTTGGCGCAGCCATGCACCTTTTGATATCAGACGACCAGAGCCAGGGCAGCGACAACGCCTCACCCGATCTCAGAGAGTACATCATGTCCTACACCTGTCGAGATCTTGTCGACTTCGTGGTCGACTACCAACAGGAGAGAAACGGGGTACCAACCAAGCCAATGCTCGCCCAGATCGCGAATTAGGACCCCGACTTTGACCTGCAGCAAGCTACACGAGAGGAGAGGTTGAAGTGGCGTCGAGCATACACAATCAATTGGCTGTACGATTTTGTCAATATCTATTCAAGCCCGACCGACAAACGTGCTGATGGGGATCTCCCAGACCTCGAGGACATCGACTGGTCCCCCCAAAGCAAGTATGTCCTCCAACAAGCGGTTACGGGTTTCCAAGATTTTGCAGCAATCATTACCTCGCTTGCAATGCGAAAGCCCGGCACCTACGTTCCGGAACGCATTTTACCACACCAAGTCTTTGTGATACAGTGTATTGTAGACGCTTTCACCGTGTCGCGCGGCTGGTCCATCGATATGTTGAAAGGGCATGTCCTCATGAACCCGCCCCAGAGTTTCAACCCGACCAGAGAGATTGAGCTGTTCTTGGATCGCGAAAAGGAAAGGAACTCCTCGGGGTGTATGCGTGCTCTTTGGCAGCTGTCGGAGCTTCTTTACGCCGACGAAACGATCCGCATGCAACCAGGTTACCACGACAATTGGTTCAAATCCGCGCAAGGACTCGATTGTGTATGGGGCTGTCTAGGCCGTTCAGCCCACTTGCATGAACAACTCATGTTCCCGGATTCTGCCTTCTCCGGGACTCACGCCAATGGCCTTTGGGAGCTCTCTCCTTTTCTATGTGGCGTGGGGCTCATGAATAGCGTTGAGTTGGCATATCGATACTCGATGAGTATATGGGACAATCTGGTCATGGTTTCAGCGATGTTCCATCTTTACAACATGCTTGTGAAAGCGGGATACCTCACAATACCAAACCAGCTCTACCACAGTTTACAAGACTCGTTTAAGGACTGCATTTTCCAAAACGGCGAAGCACCGACGTACAACTTCGGCCGGTGCCTCACAAGACGAGTGAACGATCTCTGGGGCACAGGAAGACAGGGCCAGAAGAACGCGCGGTGCTTGACGGCATCAAGGACACAGGGAATATACGGAGGGCTAGACCCCAGCCTGAATGTGTCGTTCAAAAAGAAATCCAATTTGCTACTGTATCGAGACGCCAACTGGGACATCGAAAGCATCCCGGACAGCGATATTGAGCCACGATCTTCACTTGCGATGCTCCGCATCTTCCAGGCAAAGCAAGTAACCGACTCTCAAACAGGAGAGAAAACTCTCGAAGAAACAGACCTGATACGCCGCGCCAAAGCGGAGCTCAAAGTAGATAATGACGAGCTCTTGGGCATGGCGATCTTGGGCATAGCGAGTGCGCCGATTGGCGTCGAACCGGCCAGTCATGCAGGCACTCGGCTAACTGGGGAAAAATTACTGAGGCTTGTCAAGAAGGACATATACAATGATGTCTGTGGAGACTCGCCCTCATCCGGCATCAACTATCTTGGGGTTGCTGCTTCTGTCTTGTTTCACCACGACAGCATCGAGAGGGAGCTGCTCCGCTTGGAAAATCCGCGGTTCCTGGAGGTATATTTATCGAATGATCCCGATAGACGGCTGTTTTCCCTGAATCACATCATGAATCTTCGAGATGAAGCGTGTCTCCAGGCCATGGCTGGGGTGATGGAGACCTTCAGGACTTCGTTGAAGGATTTCGTCTATTGGGAAGACATGGGCAGAGCAGCGGACATGCCGGACAGAAGCTCCGCGGAAAAGCCGACCGATAAGCAATGCTCAGTTATGTGAGGAAGACTGATTGATGTACGGGCGACCTAGTGTGTAGTTTACTTAGCGTTGGCTTGACCCGTCAGAAGGTTGGGGGTGGCACACGAGCGATGGACGTGGCTTAGGTCCAGCGAAGCATGCACAAAAAGTATAGAGTAACAATACATGGCGAATGAGTTGAACACGGCACAATGAGACGTGCCGACTTGGAGTGAAGAAAAGATGACTTTGGCATCCCGGGAAGGATTGGAGAGACGTGCGTACGGGACTCGAAGGACGCTTCTTGGCGACGGTTCTGCCACGGATCATTCCCAGGACCAGGGTGCGTTGAGCGTTACTAGTATATCACCGAGAGGCGGTGACTGGGGTGGCGAGCCTAGGAGAGAAGGAAAATCGGGAGACGTGAAGCAGAAGCTACATATACTGTGTGTAGCAATTGATGGAGACGGGAAGATGGCGAGGATGCATCATCGGTAGAACCCTGGGAGATGTGCTTGGACGGCCGGGTGTCTGGCGCCTCCCATTTCCCGCATGGATGGAGAACGACGTCGGAGGGGGAGACGGTAAGTGTCACGTCACATGTTTGCGTCACGGAGACAGAACGAACGCAGCACTTGGCTTTTGCCGCTTCAACTACCGACGAGAGAGTGAGCCCATTGCTCGTCGCGCCTGATAGGCTTGTTCGGAGGAGAGAAGGGCGACGGGGACTAGCCTAACCGTATGGCTAGCCAACGGCTAGCTTACCCGCTCTCCGGCCATACCACCCCCCCTCCCAAAGCCGCCAGAGCGCGCGCATGTTCCCCGCCAAAGGGACTATGGGGCTGCTAGCCCGGCGCTAGGTCCGTCCGTCCATGACAAGAGCCCGGGGGCCCGGGTACGCCGCTAACGAAATCATACGGGTTCGGCCACGAGAGGGGGGAGGGGTGGAGATGGGGAGGAACGCGTTTGGTCCGGCGCGCTTGCTCCGCGCCTCATGCGCTGTCTCCCGGCTTGACGGCCCACGTCTGCCGATTACGATCCCGGGATTGTCTCCCTGGCAAACATGCACGAGGCCTCACATTTGACGAGGGGGAGTGCGGGCGGGGACGGCCAGCTCCCGGCCGTGTCACTCGGTTGTGGCTTGCTGGCACAAGCCAAAACGGGCAGAGAGCCCCTTTCCCCCAGTTGTCAAACAGAGAGGGCGTGGAACCTACCACTTACTCCCGCCCGCCTGCCCGCCGAGGAGCGATGCCGGACCAGGCCTGGACCTTGCCGGTCGACCTCTCCCCAGAACGTAGGCCGGGCGCGGCGCAGCCAGGTCAGGAACCGACTCTACCCAGTCAGCTAGCATGCCGGGAACTGCGGAAAGGGACCGACTGCAACGTCCGCCAAAAGGAAGACCGGCGTCAATACGGGCGC